ATTTATCCAATTAAATTTAATTTCAGATCATTAAAGTCTCATCCTTTTTGGGTAGCACTGTAGGTTCCCTTGCGACGCACTCAAGACGACCTTTTTTTGTGACACGAATTCTGTACAGTGTGAACTCAATCTTTTTAGTTTCATTTTTTGTATTAGTTGGTAACAACATATATTCTTGATTCTTCCAGTTTAAATCAGTATCTTTAGTAACTGTTTATTCTTTGTAATCAGTATCTTTAGTAATTGTTTATTCTTTGTATTAGTTGGTAACAACATATATTCTTGTTTCTTCCAGTTTAAATCAGTATCTTTAGTAACTGTTTAATTTAAGTATATCATGAAATATGTAATAAATCATATCATCTTGGTTTTGTGATTTGAATTGAATCCTAGTGCTCCGTGATCTCATTGATCCCGACCGGATTTAATCCCGGAGACAAAGTTACAGATTCGTCCTATAATCGGTTCAAACTCATTGTATCATTTCTATTATACCAGAACCAAAACTGTTATTTTCAAGTTTATATGACTTTGCTCTTCTCCAACTATATATATATTTTTTAAACTATCGCGATATTGGTATTTGACTGTCAAGTATACAAAAACTAAATTCTTTGTCTTATTTCTTATTTCATGCGAGATTTTTGCATTTTTCATATTTTAAATAAATAAATTTGTACATACAAGTAATTAGTACATTGAACAATTAACTACGCAAGGACTTCTAGTTGTCAATCAGAAAACTTCAAATTTACGCAAAAAATGCGTATTATCAAGATACGCTGCGCAGCAAATCAAATTAACTGTCGGATTTACAAGAAATCCTGTGGAATGCTGCTATTTGCAAATCATTGGTTTACAAAACCAGAAGGGATACGTTTACTCATGAACTTGTTTAACTTCTTTCGTTAAAGTCTAAAGGTTCTGTGCTTTGGTTTCTATTTCAGCTTTTTTGCAATAAATATTGTAACCTCAAAAATGATTTTATCTGACTTCGAATCTGTTTTTGTTATCAAAATAATTCTTCCCGATATAAATCAAGTTTACTTTCAACTATGGAGTGTAGTTCAAATACTAACTAGCAGCAATAACATTAATACCCGACATTGAACCATAAAATGAGATACTTAAATTTATTTATACCTTGAGTTAATGGCGGGAGGTTGTGACGCTTGAAATATTATTTGAATAAATATATATACACACATATAATATATGGATATATATATATTTACACACATAGAATATATGGATATATTTATATATATTTAAAACTGCAACTACAATCATATGTCAATGTATTTCAAGTTCAACTCGTATATTCAGAATTTACTGATCGATAATAGGGGAACATGAAGTAAACTTAATATATAGAATAACAGCATTTTAGGTCCAGGGGGAGGGGGACAAAAATCGCCCAAGAGGGGGGGAATATTTTTTCGCGCTTCGGGCAAAAACTTTCCGCTCTCCCTTCCCACTACCCTGGCTAAAATCCTATAAACATGCCTGCGCCTTATCGTACATTTAGTGGAATATCTGTTTTATACAGTGATAAACAGATAACTGTAAAATAGGAAGACGACATTAAAGTAATACCACAGGCCATTTGTTGTTTCAAAGCAAATAAATTTACTAGTAAGAATTATTAAACCTCTTTAAGTGAAAAGAGTCTGTTTACTGGACTATTTAAAATCATAAATTGAGTCTAAAAGTCGACTCTCTATTGCACAGTGTTCTGATTATCACTGTAATCTAAGGAGTCGACCGCTAAACTTTCAAGTTTCAACCAAACGTAAACCATGCTTTTCTGTTCAGCGAGTTAAAAATATGCTTTACTGTTTAATGTTTTGAAAGCCATTGGTTTACTGTTTACTAGATGCATAGAGTAATTAATTAATTAATAGGGAGGTCGGTGGTGTACATCTGAGATAAGCTTTACCTCTTCGTTTTATTACTCTATGACTAGATGTAGACAATAAACCATGATTTACTGTTTAACGTGTTAAAATATGCTTTGCCGTTCAACGAGTCGTAAATATGCTTTAATTATTTAGCTGTTGAAAATATTTTTTACTGTTCAACGAGTCGGAAATATGCTTTACTGTATAACGAGTCGGAAATATGCTTTACTGTTTAAAGAGTCGGAAATATGCTTTACTGTTTAAGCTTTACTGTTTAAAAAGTCGGAAATATGCTTTACTGTTTAACGAGTCGGAAATATGCTTTACTGTTTAACAAGTCGGAAATATGCTTTACTGTTCAACGAGTCGGAAATATGGTTTACTGTTCAACGAGTCGGAAATATGCTTTACTGTTTAACGAGTCGGAAATATGCTTTATTGTTTAACGAGTCGGAAATATGCTTTACTGTTTAACGTGTTGAAAATATGCTATATACTGTTCAACGAGTCGGAAAAATGTTTTTTACTGTCAAACTAGTTGAATATATATTTGACTTTTCTACACGTCGGAAGCCGTGCTTTACTATTCAACTAGTTGTTAGCATACTTTACAGTTTAACGAGTCTAAACATACATTTCTACTAGACGAGTCTAAACATACATTTCTACTAGACGAGTCTAAACATACATTTCTACTAGACGAGTCTAAACATACATTTCTACTAGACGAGTCTAAACATACATTTCTACTAGACGAGTCTAAACATACATTTCTACTAGACGAGTCTAAACATACATTTCTACTAGACGAGTCTAAACATACATTTCTACTAGACGAGTCTAAACATACATTTCTACTAGAGACGAGTCTAAACATACATTTCTACTATAGGCGAGGCTAAACATACATTTCTACTAGGCGAGCATAACCATACATTTCTACAATAGGCGAGTATAAACATACATTTCTACTAGACTACCCAACATTTCCAGAACCAGTTCCTTCACTTCTCCTTCAACAATGAGACAAACTGCCGGAGACCATGTATTGTAAGCTGATAGGACCATATTCTATTTCAAGAAGGAATGTTCTTTTTTTCGTAAAGCTTTTCCTGGTTTGAATCAACTCTAACCTGGTCCTTGAGGGCTCATAGTTTACTTGCAGGACAAACTTGTAACAGTCATTGCTGCTGCAAGCCGGTCTCTTGCTGTCAGCAATAGTTTAAATCCATGAAGTTTAATTATGTCCGGTCTATAATTGAGAAGAATTGGGTGCATAATAAAAAGATGTTTACAAGGAGGAAATGTAAAATTCTCTGTCAACTGAAGCCCAGTGAGGTTGGAATAGGAACTCCTGCGTTGGCCAATCAGGTCCATCCCTCAAGAGACAAAGAGCATTTATTCAAAGCAAAGTTGATCAAATCTGATAATGTTTTACGTAGTCCTTTAACACCCTAGAGACATTGTGAAATTAATTTCATTGTGATCGGGTAAAAAGTCTCTAAGAGAAAAAAGTGTGAAGTGTTTGATTTTTTAACACCATTTAAAACCCACAGACTGATATGAAAATCACGTATACGTTTAAACGCTTTAGAAATATCTAATCAGTTTTCTGTATTGCAACCCAGTTAACTATTTATTGTTCTGAACCTATTTATGATATTGTTAACAAATAAAGTATACTGGTTTCCTTAACAAGCAACCCTTTATCTTATCAAATCAGTAAATTAACCACACTGGTCATTTTTATTATATATATACATACATATATTTAAACCAGTCTTAAAGAAAATTTTGCTAAATGGTCTTGTCAGTTCTCAATTGCTCAGACAAGAACGAACAATTGAGAACTGGCAGGACCATTTAGGAAAATTTTCTATAAAACTGGTTTTCGGGATTTTGATGTAGGAACAGAATATTAAGAGATATTTCTGCCTAAGTTTTCGATTCAGGTTCTCCGTCCTTGGTGCATAACAAGATATCTCCGTCCTGGATGAAATAAGATGTCTCCGTCCTAGGTGTGTAACAAGATATCTCCGTCCTAGATGTGTGCCAAGATATTTTGCCTAGGTGCGTAACAAGATATCTCCGTCCTGGATGAAACGAGATATCTCCGTCCTAGGTGTGTTACAAGATATCTCGGTCTTAGGTGTGAATAAAGATAGCTCCGTCCTAGGTGTGTAACAAGATATCTCCGTCCTAGGTGTGTAACAAGATATCTCGGTCTTAGGTGTGAATAAAGATATCTCCGTCCTGGATGAAACAAAATATCTCCGTCCTAGGTGTGTAACAAGATATCTCGGTCTTAGGTGTGAATAAAGATATCTCCGTCCTAGGTGTGTAACAAGATATCTCGGTCTTAGGTGTGAATAAAGATATCTCCGTCCTGGATGAAACAAAATATCTCCGTCCTAGGTGTGTAACAAGATATCTCGGTCTTAGGTGTGAATAAAGATAGCTCCGTCCTAGGTGTGTAACAAAATATCTCGGTCTTAGGTGTGAATAAAGATAGCTCTGTCCTAGGTGTGGAACAAGATATCTCCGTCCTAGGTGTGGAACAAGATATCTCCGTCCTAGGTGTGGAACAAGATATCTCCGTCCTAGATGTGTAACAAGATATCTCCGTCTTAGGTGTGGATAAAGATATCTCCGTCCTAGGTGTGGAACAAGATATCTCCGTCCTAGGTGTGGAACAAGATATCTTCGTTAACTCTTAATTTTATTTTTTAAACATTCCGTATTTGCTTTGGTATTGAAGATCTGTAACATTATAAAGTATTTCTTAAGCTAACCAAACTAAACTTTAACTATCTCTACCTCAGATTACTACCAGATATCCAGTACCAGGGTTTTGTCTAAGATATCTCCGGGTACACCATGTATCACTGGATCCAAGAATGTATCATATACCCTGAGACCTGAATATAGCATCATGCTTTCATTAATCAGAACACGGATAGGGAGTAGTAAGGGAGGGGGGGATGGAGGGAGGGGAATAGAAGGTTGGGGAAGGATCCAGGGGACTGAGGGATGGAAAACCCTGCAAGGGTTTGAGTGAGTTTATGTAGGCGCCCCAAAATGGGCGTGTATGGGGGATTGACAACACCCGTTGTAGCGCCGGCGCCTATATAGGGCGCCTCCGACGCCGAATTAATCAGTCTGTAGACACCCTCCCAGGAATACGCACAACATCATGGCATCAAAGGTGACGCAACAACAACAACATTTTTCATTTAACAACAACATTTCTCATTCAGCAACAACTTTTATTCCACATTATTGATTATTCATTCTCAAGACCTTCTGATAGAGTTGACTCTCTCTTAAACCATGAGATTTGAATATCCTATGCATTCAATGCTGTCGAAAATAAATGGTTCTTAGATATTTAAAACATTTCTTAGATAGTTGATCTAAGAAATGTTTAAGGCACAACATTTACTTTCGACAGCAACATTTTTAAATAACCAAATAATCAGCAATATCATTTTAAATTAATTACACAGGAATTGAGCCTTTTCCACAAACCGTGATTTCTAATCCCTATAAAGACTACGTTTCTTTTCACAAAAGTATTTCCATCAACATTTGATTTTTCAACAACATGTAATGAGATTACAATCTCTGTTACACATTTAATTCAAGTATATATTTTTTTAAACAAAGGAAATTCGTTTTTGAGGTACTCGTTACACAAACCATGTGAATAATTTTTAACATCATCTTTTGCATAATTGAAAATTATAAAGTAAGGTTTGAATAACCACATATTGGAACTGTGTATTTAAGAAGAAGTTTTATTTATTTCATACTTCTGGAAATTGTATCTAAACAATAATTTTCATGGTTTCATTATCAAATGCACTTTAATAACCAGCAATGTTTCCGATAAAAAAAACATTTAAAAACTATGATATTACCAATTCCTCCTAACAAAATTCATCAGCTTTCAAAATTGCAATGTTTTAGTAAAAAAAATAAGAATGATCTTTTCTCCAGGTTTTGATCGCTGCTCTGTTTGGAGTTGCTTCCTGCTCCAACCCTGCTCCATACAATCCTGCTCCTTATGCTGATCCCTACCCAGCTATTGCTCCAAGCTACAATGTAACTATCATATTTTGGATCCCCCCCCCCCCTTCCCCTTGAATTTGTAATACTTCTCTAAAACCATTTTCCGTAAATTCTAAAATTCTAAACTTTTATCTTAAGAACATTTTAACTATGATGCTGTTTTAGTACCAGTATGGAGTGAATGATCCCCACTATGGACCAGTATTTTCTCAGCAAGAAGAAAGGAACGACTACAACACTGCCGGAGAATACAGAGTAAACCTTCCTGATGGTAGAGTACAGATTGTATCCTACACTGCTGGACCTGAGGGATATGTTGCTGATGTCAGGTATGAGGGTGAAGCTCAGTACCCAGAGGAGAAAGCATATGCCCCTGCTCCCTACAAGGCTGCTCCCGCTCCCTACCAGCCAGCCCCTGCTCCCTATGTTCCTGCCCCCGCTCCTGCTTACAAACCCGCCCCTGTTGCCTACAAACCTGCCCCTGCTCCCTACAAGCCCGCTCCTGCCTATGCCCCTGCTCCTGCCTATGCCCCCGCTCCTGCTTACAAGCCCGCCCCCGTCTACCATTCCGCTCCAGTTTACAAGCCCGCCCCTGCCTACCACTCTGCACCTGTCTACCACTCTGCCCCTGCTCCAGCATATGCCCCAGCCAGGAGGTACGGATTCAACATTGTCACCACTCCTGCACCTGAACTTCCCGCTGAGGTCAAGGAGGTCGTTGTTGAGGAGGCCGCTGCTCCCGTAGAGGAAGCTGAAGCCGCACCTGAGGCTGCCCCCGAGGCTGCTGAGGAATGAATCCACTAAGACTGCTGCTATGCTGTCTAACAGCTGTGCAGAAAACTGTTTTCAACCTCCAGTATTGCAATCTCGGTATTCTAGACACTAGTCATATATTTATGCTAAGTTATTATTTTTGTTACTTAATTTAGTTATCCACAATAAAAAGTACAAATTCAGATTTATTATTTATGTTAGTTTTTGTTCTTTAAGCTAAGTGAATCTTCTTCTTATATAGGCAATTCATATTTGTCTTCTATGGTTCCAGAATCCGAGACAAATGATTTGCGGATTTTATAATCTTCTTTTGGGGATTTTCAATTTTTGACAATTTTTACTGAGGGGGCGGAAACGACTTGTGTGTGTGTGTGTGTAACAAAAGAGCGTGAGCACTGGATGAGAAGGCACATAAAGCATAAGGACTGGTTTTCTATTCCATGGTTTTACTCAAGGTACTAATGCAAGGAAAGTTATTTCAGAGGTGTACACTTTTTTTGTACTGCAGTGTACTGTCTTTGGGCGGAAAAGTAAACACAAGACGGATGTCACACCCTGACATGTAATCCATGTTTCACAAAAATAATCTTTGAAATATTGTGGTCATAGGAAACTATTATGCGAATTTTCAAAATTATCATAATAAAATGCTTTTTTCCTTCAACGGATACTAAACAAACACTAATGCATCTATTCTTGTTTACAAAGTCCGCCCTGAGAAAACTGGTTTAAATATTTACGCAGAGTATACGCAACTGCAATTAACTCTCCTTGCATTACATTCTTGGTTTTAATATACATAGTTTTGATTTAATTAGAATAGATTTTCAAGAGTAAAATTTTTCACACAAAGCACATACAGCGTGTCCCACGAAACATGACAGTTGCTGAATACTTTAAATGTCTTCTTCCATAATTTGTTAAGTAGTTTGATACCAAAGAAAATAATACTAAACATTTTATGGCAGTTTTATCATAGTAAAATCGATCCCAGATTAAGATTTATTGGAGTAAAAGATTTTTCTACCGAACTAAACTGCGAAAAGTCTTTAAATCTAATCCAGTTGGAAGACGAGATTATAAACTATTCATTAATTGCCATGTTTCGTGGGACACCCTGTATGTAGATTAAAGGTTTAAATATCAAGAGTGTGTACTGCTCATTGTACAGTACGGTACGGTATCGCAATAATTGCTAAGTAGTGCGCAGTTCAAGTACGTCCTTCTATAAAATTAGGGCTGGGCACTTTCAGAATTATTATAAACTATTTGTTTAAATAAAGAAAAAAAAAACTTTTCAGGTATTCATTTGTTCTTAGCTCAGAAATTAATATTTTTAATTAACATTTTCCATTCTTTCGTAAAGTTACCTTTCAATAACAATCTTAATTATATGAACGGAGTTAACGGTCAATATCCTAGCTGTTCAAGATTATATCATGCACTGATTAATTAATAATTAAACTTTAAGCAGAAAAATGAACAGGAGTCACCGTTTTTCATGAATGGATATGTTCTTGCAGTCCCTGGTGTATTTTTTACCTTATTTATATAGAGACTAAGCTCTTGTAATTCCATAACAAGAGGTTGGGTGATTTTAAGCAGAGAGATGAAATATCAATTTTGGTTTTACATTTATAGTAAATTCTTTTGGAGTAAGATTTGAAATTTGAAATTTTGTTTTTTTATCCAACAATCTTAAAGTAACCTTTTGTTTTTAGATTGGCATGTCCAATTCACTACAATACAATTTAAACCTTTCTCTGAGCAAGGATTAATGAGATATCCATATTTTCCAAGTAAGTATTATTACTAATTGTGATTTCCTTCAGAGTGACTTGTGATTCTATTGCTTAGATAAATAAATCTATGGTTAATTGGCGACACTAATGACGTTTTGATGCCAGATGTGTACAACAAGGGTAAAATTAAACAGAGTAAAATCTAAAAAGATAAAAAGAAAAAACTCTATTTTAGGGGCATTTTGTTGGCCGATCCCCCCTCACTTCCCCCCATCCCAAATTTTGTGCCCTTCAATCTGCTCCAATCGAAATTTAAGGGGTTTAACCCAACTCTCTAAGGCCTATTTTGTATTAGTACAGGGGGGGGGGGGTGATATCGGTATAAACAGGAGTAGGATAAAAAAAAAACTGGCGGAATTTTATACATTTACGTAATTTTGGCATGAACAGTACATATATATTGTATAGACCTTGTACATGTACATTGAAAAATATTATGTACAAAGCTTACACGGGCATTGCAGAACATATTTTAAAACAAGTCAGATTGGGTTTTAGAAAATTAAAAGGATTTAAGCAGTTGTATAGGGTTTAGCCCAGCCTTCCTTTCATGCCCAGGAAAATTACGAACTTTGTTTTTATCATATTTTGTAAAATCTAATTTTCAACATTTATGTCTAACTTAAAAAAGCATGTCAGGGGTGACTTATGAATAAAAAAAGAAAACCCGTTCTTAATGGACCAAATCTAACTCTGTTTACCATATGTAAAATTCAGGAAAAATTCTTTTAATTGTATCCAGAGCTTGGTGGATTAAGGTTGCATGCACTTTTTACATTACAACCTATTTAGATTTAAGTCAAGGTTTAATTAATAATCGAGATATTTTGTAAATCTGAAATTAGCTTCTCATTTTTCTATATATGTGTATTATGTAATTCTGCCCATAATTCTTTCTTATTCCTTTCATTCTTTCTTCTCATCATTCTCTTTCATTCTTCCAATACTTCTCATTATTCTCTCTCATTTCTCTCATCTTTTTCTCACATTCGTTCCATGTTTCTCATACTTCTCTCACATTTTCCTTTTTTCTCATTCTTCTGAACTTTTTTCTTATTCTCTCTCATCTTTGTTGCTCATCCTTCTCTCACATTCTTTTCATCCTTCTCATCATTCTCTCTTATCCTTCTCATACTTCCATCTCATTCTTCCCATCATTCTCATCATTCTCTCTTATCCTTTTCATACTTCTATCTCATTCTTCCCATCATTTTTATCTTTCTCTCTTATTTTTCTATACATATGTAATCCTACTCATAATTCTCTTTTACTCTTAATATTCTTCATTCTCATCATTCCATCCTTCACTTTCTTAATTATCATTTTTTCTATCCTTTTCCCTCTCATGCTTCCCATCCTTCTTATCCTACTTACTCCTTCTTCCCATCCCTCTCTATCAATCTTCCCATTCTTCTCTTTCTTAATTCTCATTTTCCCCATCCTTTACTCTCATGCTTCCCATCTTTATAATCCTTCTTAATCTCCTTCTTATCATCTTTCTATTTCATTCTTCCCATCCTTTTCAACTTCTTTCTCATTCTAAATTTCCTTTTTTTCTTCACACTCTTCTCTCCCATTCTTCCCATCCATCTCTCTCATTTTTATTATTCTTCCCATCCTTCTCTCACTCTTTCCATTCTTTTCTTTATTCCCTCTCATTCTTTTCATCCTTCTCATCATTCTCTATGAATCTTCTCATCCTTCTCATCATTCTCTATAATTTTTCTCATCCTTCTAATAATTCTCTATAATTTTTCTCATCCTTCTCATAATTCTCTATAATTTTTCTCATCCTTCTCATAATTCTCTATAATTTTTCTCATCCTTCTCATAATTCTCTATAATTTTTCTCATCCTTCTCATAATTCTCTATAATTTTTCTCATCCTTCTCTATAATTTTTCTCATCCTTCTCGTAATTCTCTAGAATTTTTCTCATCCTTCTCATAATTCTCTAGAATTTTTCTCATCCTTCTTGTAATTCTCTAGAATTTTTCTCATCCTTCTCAAAATTCTCTATAATTCTTCCCATCCTTTTTATCATTCTCTGTAATTCTTTTCATCCTTCTAATCATGCTCTTTAATTCTTCCTATTCTTCTCATCATTCTCTATAATTCTTCTCATCCCTCTCATCGTTCTCTGTCATTCCTCTTATTTATCTCTCTAACTCTTTCCATTTTACTCACTCTTTTCTCTTATTCCTTCCATTTCACTTTTTAATTCTTCTATCCTACCATCTCATTCTTCCCCAACCTTCTCATCTATCGGATCAGCATGTATGTATGTAGTCCTGTATAGTGTATATGCATGTTTTAAAATAAGTATATGGGTAATGACAACACCCATTCTTCCACCGGTTCTATCATATATAAAGAGAAGTAGATATTATATATGAATCAGTTTGAATTCAACCTCTCACTGGAATACACAACATGGCTTCAAAGGTGGAATAGTTATATTCATAAAAGTGGCATCTTAGGCGCAATCAGAGATTTTTTGAGAGGGAGGGCAAGCCCCATAAAGTGCATGATTGGAATAAAAAACAGTTTTTATTAAACAGTTTAGTGAATTGGTCCTGAAACCTTTACAATTTCCAATATATCACATTTGTAGAAATCTTAAAATTCTTGTATCTTGAACTCTCTCATTTTTTACTTGCTCATTTTACAATTAGACAAATTCTTCTCTTGCTTTTTATTTTGCATATGATTTAACTAGACAAATTATTTTAATTAGCTTTTCAAATTGCAATGTTTATTTAAAGATGATAAAAATAACCTTTTCTCCAGGTTTTGATCGCTGCTCTGTTTGGAGTTGCTTCCTGCTCCAACCCTGCTCCATACAATCCTGCTCCTTAAGCTTACAAACCCGCCCCTGTTGCCTACAAACCTGCCCCTGCTCCCTACAAGCCCGCTCCTGCCTATGCCCCTGCTCCTGCCTATGCCCCCGCTCCTGCTTACAAGCCCGCCCCCGTCTACCATTCCGCTCCAGTTTACAAGCCCGCCCCTGCCTACCACTCTGCACCTGTCTACCACTCTGCCCCTGCTCCAGCATATGCCCCAGCCAGGAGGTACGGATTCAACATTGTCACCACTCCTGCACCTGAACTTCCCGCTGAGGTCAAGGAGGTCGTTGTTGAGGAGGCCGCTGCTCCTGTAGAGGAAGCTGAAGCCGCACCTGAGGCTGCCCCCGAGGCTGCTGAGGAATGAATCCACTAAGACTGCTGCTATGCTGTCTAACAGCTATGCAGAAAACTGTTTTCAACCTCCAGTATTGCAATCTCGGTATTCTAGACACTAGTCATATATTTATGCTAAGTTATTATTTTTGTTACTTAATTTTTGTGTGAAAAATACTGAAAAGTATGATAAAACTTGCCTTTTAATTATAAATTTTTCTTTTTTTGAACAAACGATTTTACTGAATGATCATTCAGTTAGAAAATGAACAAAATAGATGGAAAATGAAGGATAATTTTAAAAACGAACTAAATCAATTTTTTAACAATTAAAAAAAACAAACGAAATCGGTCGTTCTCAAACGATGAAAAAACGAAATGAAAAAAACTCGCCCATCTCCACCTATCCTATACATTTGTAAAAAATTATTTTTGCATCACATCCTTCTCATCCTTAACTCTCTAATTTGTCCCTTCCTTCCCATCATCCTCTCTAATTTGTTCCTTCCTTTCTATCATTCTCTCTATTTCTTCACATCCTTCTCATCATTCTCTCTCATTCTTCACATCCTTCACATTCTTCCCTCTCATTCTTTCCATTCTTCTCTCTAATCCTTCCCATCCTTCTCTTTAATTTGTTCCTTCCTTTCTATCATTCTCTCTATTTCTTCACATCCTTCTCATAATTCTCTCTCATTCTTCCCTTCCTTCACATTCTTCTCTCTCATTCTTTCCATTCTTCTCTCTCTAATCCTTCCCATCCTTCTCTTTAATTCTTCCCTTCCTTCACATTTTTCTCTCTTACTCTTTCCATTTTTCTCTCCTATTCTTCCAATTCTTCTCTCTAATCCTTCTCATCCTTTCCATTCTTCTCTCTTATCCTTTTCATCCCTCAAATTTTTCTTTCAGATTCTTCAAAACCTACTCAGCCTTCTCTTCATTCTTCAAATCCTTTTCATTCTTTTCTCTCATTTTTCCTTTATTCTCAACCTACTCTCTCATTCTTTCCATCCTTGTAATTTTTCTCACTCATTCCTCCCATCCTTTTTCTTAAATCCTTCTCATCCTTCACATCCTTTCTCTAATTCTTCACATTTTCCACTCTATCTATATATAAATTTGGCTTTTCTGTCTGTTTGTCTGTTTGTTTGTATCCAATAAACGTCAAAACGGCTGAACCGATCGGGCCCAAACTTTTTGTGGGACATCATGTGACCACAGGGAAGGTTTACGAATGATAAAAATTTTTAAAAAACGTGTTTTAAAGGTTTTTAATTTTGTAAAAAAAATTTAAATTCTTGAATACCACAAATTTTTGTTTAAAAATAGGCGAATTTAAAATGTAAACAAAAAGAACATGTTCACAATTTAAATGGAAGATGGGCGCGAAGCGCCCTAAAAGCCTTGTATGCTATATTTGGACACCCTTACAATCGATTTCTTCATCTCAGTTTTAAAGCACTGAATTGTAAAAGGAATTGAGTTTTTGTCACAAATTAGAATTTTCTAATCTCTATACCTTTTTAACCTGATGGTGTAAACTTTCGTAGTTTCAACCTTAAATGATCTAATTCAACAATATTCATAGCTTGAAATATCTAAGGTCTGCGACTTTGGATTGTAAAGATATTGGGATTAGAAAATCAGAGATTGTGGCCAAGACTCATTTCCTTTAAAGCACTGAATTGTAAAATTTGTTAAAAGGAACTGAGTTTGCCAAAAACTCTGATTAATCCCAAAATCTCTTTAATATCTCTATTTCAAACTATGATATCAAAGGTTTACACCATCAGGTTGCAAACATATAAGGATTAGACAATTCATGTTTGTGTTAAAACTATACACATCTCATTCGCCTGAGGCAAATATATTTCCATTCGACCCTTTTGATCAGATACTTTGAGAGAACTGACTTGGTCTTGGGGGATTGGGGCATCAGATGGCTGACGATACTGCTTTCTTCCCCGGCTAGATAAATGCCGTTTCACTCCTTTCTCCAGCATCGATCTTCCCATAGCTCCGCCCTTTAAACGGTACTGACTTGATATATCTCCCAGATGAGAAAGGGGTTCCCCCATGGCAGCCTAGCCTCTTACATATACTAAGGCTGCAAACATACTCGGGGTTCAACGTCCTCTTAGGTTGGGTCTGGATTGTTTGGCTTGGAGAACCCTTGGTTGGGTTCAAATAATAGAAAGACCTTGATAATAAACTGGAAATAGATTTTTTTATATACCGTTTTATTTGTATGTGTGAGCTTGTGCCCACACCCCTTAACTAAAATAAATTATTAAAGTTAAAAAACAAGACCTCGTCAGTTCTCACAAAGTATCTGATCAAAAGGGTCGAATGGAAATATATTCGCCCCAGGCAAATGTCATGTGTATTTAGATCAACTTTGGTTGGTCCAACACTAATTGTTTGTATCGTTATAATGTAAAAATAGTTTTTTGCAACCATGCTTTGTTATTTCATTCAATCTTGGCTTTTTAATACTGAGTTTTTTCAAGTTTATAATAATATATCTAAATATTTGTTTTCATTATGATTTAAAAGACATTAGTTACTACACGTTTTTCAAACCTAAAGCATGTTTAGAACTGCAGACTAAGTGCAGAGTTGAACAAAGTAAATAAGTAAACAAATCTTTAATACATACAGGTTCAATATAGCTTGCCGTAACCACCATTATCTGCATGTCAACGGAAATAGGAGAAAGAAGTGAAGTTTTAAAATCATACAGGATAAAAAATTACAAAAGATAATTGCGAATTTTAGTTTTTAGTTTTTCGATAAATCTCCCTAAATCTTAGGAGATAAAAAAATTATGTATCCGTCATTTTCACTACAGTTCAATATTTTTAACTAAAAACATTCACTTTGCAAAGATATTTCAATGTTTTCTTCCCTTAAATTGAGATTCCTAATAAACAATATAAATAATGGTTTTGTTTATTGAAACAGGAACTAAAATTGTTGCATTATAAGTCTTGTGGAAAGAAAAACACCTGCTTTGTATAATCTTGTAATAATCTTCTGCATTAAAACTTCTTCAAGTTCATTCATTGTTTATTGTTTGATCAGTTTATATTATTACTCTGCTTTCCTATTAACAATTTTACTTTTCACTATTCCTCTCTAAGTCGCCATTTTTAATCAGTCTCATTTTTTGCGGATTTTTTTTCTTTTAAACTAAATTTTGTAACGTTTTTTTTCCGGGCAAACTTTTCCAGCCATAAACCTTTTCTGGGGTCACGTGAGGTGTGTCATAAAAATTTAGATCCGATCGGTTCAGCCGTTTTGACGTTTTTTTAATAAAAACAAAAAACAGACAGACAGACAAGCAAAATTGTTTTATAGATATACATATATTAATTTTATTTTTAGTTTTGTTGATTTTCAAAGGTTGAAAGGTCAAGATGTGAATCATTTAAATTACACGGGACAACTCTTTCAATACAAAGTTGAGTTTGGAGTGTTTAATGAATTCCTAAATCTGCAGAGTGTCTCAAAGATGATGATCATATTATTGATGATAATGATATTAGGAACGGTTAGCTGTGGTAAATCAACTGGATTTTTCAGCTCCAAGACCAGGAAAATTATCTGCGACAGGTTAAACAAGCTGAACCCTATCCATATGAAATTGCAATTGTTAAAAAAGATCTTCACATTTTGTTCATGATATCGAACTAACAAAAGTATTTTGATAAAACAAATATTTTGTTCAAAATTACGAAGAGAATTAGGAATAAAAAAATTGTGAGATATCCGTAGCAGTCTGTTATTATTTCGATAAAAATGTTTGTTATATCAAAATGCTTTCGTTCAAATTATATCTATTTAAATAATAAATCTTTCATTTAAAGAAATCCTCATCGTCATTATTTGTGTAAGTTTGCCTGAAATATTGATTGATTGATTGATTGTAGAGAAAGCAATGGATCTGACTGGTGGATTACCCCAACCCAGTATTTCTCCTGCTACCAGGATCAACATTGTTGTGGAGATGCTTGGAACAGAACCTGCTGTGACAAGGTATGCAATCTTTAAAGGGAGTGTCAGCTTAGTTTCCGGTCACAAGGAGGGGCTTTGAGTTTTTTATCCAAGATTGATGATTTACAATTACAACTTCTCTATTTGCTTTGTTTGCTTTGAAGGATACTCTAGTCAAGTCTCTTTATTTGGCAAATGACCAGAGCTGAAAACTTTAGAATGGTGGATATCGAGGTTAATGCTTGATCCTCTCTTTTTCTTAAGACTAACCTAATCTTGTACTGGTATCCTGAAAAGTGTATAAAATTCAACCAATCAGAGTCGCGTATATGAAGCCGATAAATTTGCACTTTTGCGCGCCATTCAAGATTATATAAAGAAATGGAAGGGACTCTCTTCTTTAAAAAACCGATTTTTGATTTTTTTTCTAATTTATCCAAGAAAGAACGGTTTAAGAAGAAAATCAAAGGTGTGTCCATTGGATACTCAGATGTAGTAATCGGGATTAAGGATATCTCATTCTAAAGTTTTCAGCTCAGGATCTATATTTGTTATTTCTTAACTATAGTACCTCGCAAACAGAGTTTTGAGTTTGCCATCAAGAAGTGGAGTTTTTGTCAAGTTTCAAACAGAAGTTAAACTCTACAAAAGTCGTGCAATAGCTGGGTGCTAACACCAAGTTTTGAACCACTTTTGATTTCCACTCATTAACTGGATGAAATTTGGTGACAGCAACTTGATCTAAACTTGACTTTTTGAATCTGTTTTTAATCTTTGTGAAGAAACAATCTTAAGAACTGACGAGGGTCAACCCAGACCGAAATATATTTTTTAAAAATGTGGAACTAACATCTACTTTTTTACTCTACAGAGGTTTGGTCCATCACCATCACTGAATTTTAAATCTTTTTGAATCTCAGTTTGTAACTTGGTTCAAAAGTCAGAGGTAACACCCAATTATGGCATGGCTGGTCGAACTCTGGTGGCAAAAATTTGACTTAAACACGATTTTTTAAATCACAGTTAGTAACTTGGTTCATAAGTCGGTGCTAACATCCAGTTATAGCACAGTTTAACTCCTCTGGACAACTAGTTGTTCCATCCTGTAGTTCTGATTGGTGGTTAAAAAGATTCTTAATTTGTAATCAAGCATTATTCAATGTATGTATTTTACACAAAACTCTTTATGTAAAATCACTTTTAGGAGAATAGCAATAAAAGCACAATGGTGATAATAACAGCTGTAATGGTAATTGTGATCTTACTGCTCCTCCTTCTGCTGGCTATCTACAACGTAAGGATTCGAAGTAGATATTATATTCGAGTGGCAAACCTTTGGAATGATGGTATTTTTACAGGATCTATGCCTAAATACAAGGTAATAAGCTTGAGGAGTTAAGACCACATCTATTAATATAAAGACAGAAATATGTATTCAAAAATATAAATTGCTTTTTGTTAAGCTTAACATCAATAATTCCTGCCCTGATGAACCCAGTGAAAATCATCAGAAGGAGGAGGCTCAAGAGAGTAAACAAGAACTACCAGAGAGGAAACATGATCTATCACGACATAAAGATCCATGGGGAAATAGTGATGACCGCAAGCTACCGTATGCAGAATCAAATGATGTGTTAAGCATAAACACATTGCCCTCCAGTATTGAAGAGACCCTTGAGAACGGGTTCAGGTCAAGGATCAGCCAGCTCAGTTCTGTTAGTCCTGTCAGTTCCAGTATTCCCTTCATCACTGGAGCAAGCAAACCCCTCCAAGGAGATCTATGCTCTTCACTCATGAAATATGAACCATATCAAATAATGACAATTGACCAAGGTAGTTTACAGTTGAAATTAAAATAATATAAAAAAATTAAAAATTTCTTGTTTTCAGAATCATCTCACTGGACCCAGGGGAAAGAATTATACAATCCTGTAATACCCTCGCTTTTAGATTCTAGTTATATTCCACCTCCAGCTGTATATATTCCTCCTAGATCCTAGTTATAAATTCCACCTCCAGCTGTATATATTCCTCCTAGATCCTAGATATATTCCACCTCCAGCTGTATATATTCCTCCTAGATCCTAGTTATATTCCACCTCCAGCTGAATGTATTCCTCCTAGATCCAAGTTATATTCCACCACCAGCTGTATATATTCCTCCTAGATCCTAGTTATATTCCACCTCCAGATGTATATATTCCTCCTAGATCCTAGTTATATTCCACCTCCAGCTGTATATATTCCTCCTAGATCCTAGTTATATTCCACCTCCAGATGTATATATTCCTCCTAGATCCTAGTTATATTCCACCTACAGCTGTGTATATTCCTCCTAGATCCTAATTATATTCCTCCTCCAGCTGTATATATTCCTCCTAGATCCTAGTTATATTCCACCTCCAGCTGTATATATTACTCATAGATCCTATTTTTATTCCTACTCCAGCTGTATATATTACTCATAGATCCTAGTTGTATTCCACCTCCGCTGTATATATTCCTCCTAGATCCTAATTATATTCCTCCTTGATCATATCCACGAAAGTTTTTGTTTTATTTTTGTTTTACAATGAATACAAAGAGAAAATATTCACAATTAAAATAAAAGCATAGTGTATTTAAATATGAAAGAAACGTTAGTCTTTTTAAAGTCATCTTGATTCTTAAAGTCGTCTTCCAATTCCAGAGTTTTCTGGTACTCACTGACTTTCAAAATATGTGCATCTGACCTACAAAATGTGTGCATCTGACCTACAAAATGTGTGCATCTGACCTACAAAATGTGTGCATCTGACCTACAAAAAGTGTACATCTGATCTACAAAAGTGTGTATCTGACCTACAAATTGTCTTTGTTCGACTTACAAATTGTAATTCAATCATTACATTTTCTTTAATGGATGGATAATTCTTGAAATTGTCTTTCCTGTCCTTGGTCACAACTCACAATCGAACTTTATGCAATCTATATATCTATATATATATATAAAGTAATAATCACTGTTTGTCGGTTTTGATGTTTGATCATCGTTTTTTGGTAAGAATTATTTAAAATAGTTGAAAATCAAACTAACAAATGCACGAAATTATTTCTCCGAAATCCTCCAAGTTGACTAACTTGTACGAATACACCAATCAAATTTAAAGTCAGTAATAGAAAAGTAGTGAAAGAGGGCAGACCGAAATTAACTTCTATTCAGTCTCTCATCAAGGTTATAATGTTGTCTTCCCCATTTTAAGGTCTTGTTTCTCTCTTTTTATAATTGATTCAATTTTTGATATCTTCGTCAGAAAGAATTTATTTAAACTTTAGCAAATTCTTAAAATTTATCTATCATATAGCCTTTTAAGATTTACTTTATCATAAATAAGTATTAAACAATGAAATACCTATTTTAAGGATGCCTTTTTAATTAACTTGCTTCATATTTAACTCTCAAGTCCATGTTTTTCTTTTGATTCAACTTTTTATTTTCTTTATGGTACGAAATTTAACTTTCAAGACCAGATACGCTTTCTCTTTTTCTTGGTATTTTACTTTTGATGATATACCTTTTCAAATGACTTTTATTTTAGTAAACTATGTTTTCATTGAATTGATGCTTCTCTATTTACAAGTTAACTGATAACTATCTAACTACATTTAATAGTTAACTGTTAACTACCAAACCATGTTTTCTTACTGAATCAACGATTCAATCTTATAACTAGAAACAGTCAATCTTCTTATACATGCTTAATGAGCGATTCACTTACAACTTTTACAATTATGTTTTCGTTAAATTGATGTTTTTCTTTTGACATTTAATAGTAAACTGATAACTACCAAACCATGCTTTGATACTGTTTGTCGGTTTTGATGTTTGATCATAACTCATGAAGACTGATTCACCACAAATTTTAATTTGGGGAACTATGTAGAACCACGGAAATGTTCTTAGCTTGGTTTCTAAATTATAAGTTGAGTGAGTTGACATTTATAGGGAAACTTTCAGGCATAGATGGGTTCCTAAGCTATTAAATTATAGACTATTAATCCCTGTCTGTTTGTTTGTTTGTATGTCAGATCATAACTCATGAACCCTGGATTGCTTTTCCTCAAAATTTGATTGGGGAACTATGTAGAACCACGGAAACTATAGGCAAAGCTGGGTTCCCAAGCTATAAAATTATAAAGTAGTAATCTCTGTTTGTTCGTCTGATTGTATGTCCGATCATAACTCATGAACCCTGGATAGATTTTCCTCAAACTTGATGCAGAATCACGTAAATGTTCTTAGCTTGATAAAAGAATTTTAAGTTGAGTGGGTTGTATTTTTATATGGAAAACTACGGTCAAAGCTTGATTTCAAAGCTAGTTTTTTATGAAAGTGAATATATCTAACTGCTCAACAATATTAATATTTATTTTAAAATTATTATAGATACATTTTTTTATGATCTTGATGTTGAAGGGAGTTCCATGATGTTCATTCATTCTAAAATAAAGAAATAGTTTTCTTTTTCATTTCGAGGGTTTGAAAAAGCAAGCATGAGACGATACTATTTAGATGCAATGTTTCTGTTAAGAAAATCTGATAAAAATATCATCATTCAAGATTCAGAAAATAAAAACAATTTGGGTTCTTAACGCAGATCTGCTTGCTTGTACAGTACCATGCTGCTTGCCTGTACACTGTACACTGTACAACTTAAAGGAATTCTCCTGGTCCGTGATGGAATATTTAAATTCAATTCTCTTTACAGAAACATCGCAGCGGGAATAATATAAAATAAACACCTTAACATGAACTACAATGGCGATAATTATTATGATAACAAGGATTACACCTGCTCCTCCCAGACAAACCTTTAGCTTCATGTTTCTAAACAAATGAAAGTGTACAATCTACTTTTAATGGAAGGCACTGTTAGAAAAATTAAAGAAGTGGTTGAAGAGGGAAAAAGAGGATTTTCTTTGTATGCTTCTATTAAATTCTTCATTATTTGCCTTTCTTTTTGAGTAAGGAAAGAATCCATCTAACTTGACATTATGGTATTCGGAAAGAAGTCTCTGGAATAAAAAAACCAGGAAAAGGCCAAAATTAAATAAAGTTGTTAAAAGAGATTTTTTTGTCCCCAGGACATGATCGGGTTTGTTACGATCAAATCTTGGAAATTTTCTGTTGCGAAAGTTTGGTGTTGTCTGGGTTTATATTGATCTACCAAGGGTTGTAATCTGGCAGCGCATTCATCCATCCACGCTTCATTCATACTGAGAAGAGGATTGACAAGATTCCAGCTGCCTAATGGCTTCTTGGGCCTGAGAATTATAGAGTGCAGGAATTCTTCTGATATCCTGAAATGAGGCCAGGGTGCCATACTGATAGGAAACATCACACGCATCGCTCCCTAACATCTGTAAGCCCGGATTGGATACCCCCAGGTACCTATAGCTTGCAACCATAGACTCTCCTTTGCTTGTCCAGCATTCCTCTCTTCATCATCATTCACTTGGATAAATTCACTTAAAGCTTCTTTCTTGTTAAGTAGAAAGCACGCACCCTTTCGCTGCGAGAGTTGTTGACAGCCGCCCCTCTGTCCTCCTACATCCGTCAGGTGGTCATAACTGCTTAACCAGATGTCGGCTTCAGATGTTTTTGAAACCAAAGGTTTGTGTGGCTTACGGGATTCGAACCCGTGAACACCAGTCTGGACACCAATCCAGTTACTGGCTGTGGACAAGTGTGCTTAATTTCAGTGATCTAACGAGAACTTGTGTAACACACTCTCCGCCCCACCCCAGAAAATTAAATTAAATAAAGTCATTTGAGAAAATGTCAAACAGTAAACAGTTTTATGATTTTTTTTCTTTGGTAAACGGGAAAAAGGAGTATCATCACGAAATAAGAAAAAGGTTAACAGGATTTAAAAAGAAAATCAAAGCATCACGTAGCAATCAGAAAAGGTTAAAAGAATCTGAAAAAAGAAAGATAGAGAAAGTATAAAAGAAGCCTCAAAAGAAAGGTTACCATGATTTAAAAAAAAAATATAAAGAAAGAAGATTCAAGGCATTAAAGGAGAAAATAGTATAAAATCACAAACTATAAGGATGTCAAAAAGAAAGAAAGAGAAGGGAGAATAGGATTAACAAAAGTAAATAAGTCCGTCCGACAATAAGATTACAGAAAAGAAAAGAAAAAGAAAAGACAATCAAAGCACTACTAGGAAATCGGAGAAAGGTTAACATGGATCTCAAAGAACTGTTTTGACATTATTGATTTGACAAATTCATTAATGTAAAGGTTACAAACTTTTCTTGTTTTTTTTTCTATGTTTATTGAAGTTTTTTTGTTCGTGTTATTGAGTTTATTTATTTCGTGTCTAACATTTTAAATTATTTTGTTGCTTTATCTGTAATATTAACTAACTCCAAAGTTTTTGGCAAAATATACTGAGAAGAAAATAATGTAATTCTAGTGAGAGAGAGTAGGGTTGGGATTTGTTTGAAAACGATCTAAAGTCAAAAAGTCGGAGAAAGGTTACAGGATCTCAAAAAGAGAATAAATGCATGAATATTAAAAAGGAATTGCAGATATAAAAAACATGGAACAGTTTTAGAAAAAGAAAGAAGAGGAAGCACATGAAGAAAACATGAAAAAATAAAGTCAAAACGTACTGGTACCAATATTTTCTTCTCAATCTTGCAGAACTCTGCTGGAAGATCCCACTGTTAGCCTCCAGAGATGCAGCTCTAAAAAACAGAAAATGCATTTGACGCACAATGCACATTAATGCCCCCCCCCCCCCGGCACCTTCATTAAATAAATCTTTTTAAGAATTCAAATATTTCTAATCCTGACATCTTTGCAACCTGCCAATAAGCCCGCGATTTAGAAAATTTGGAGAAAATAAGACTCAAGACTAAGCTGTCACTGAGACTAATTTACGACTCCAGCTTTTAGGGATAAGAATTGCAACAAATTTTCCCCCAAGTTGGGTTTATTAAAATATATTTGATGATTTTCGTTTTTGGAATTAGCGGAGTGCTGGATTTGATTAGAATAAGATGTGCTCGACATTGAGACTTATAATTCCCTAAACCATATACCAAGGTTGGGTTTATTTTGATCGGGCCTATTAGTTCCATAAGTTGAGTCTTAAAGGGCTGGCAGCGGTCGATCACGTGACACAAGCTGTTTCCAGTTAATTTTCTAATTTGGGTCATATATGATCAAACCTTAAATCTGGGTCTAGGGAATTATAGCCCTGAGTATAAGTTTTTATGTGGCTCTGATGTCGTTATAGCAGACCTTTGAAATTTTAAACTACAAATGAAATTGTTATATAAAATAGTCAAAGTTTGACATTTCAATAGTTAACATTTTCAGGCTAAAAAGGAATTAGAAAAATATCATTTGTGGCGATCAACAGTTCCTCTTCTCGTGCATGGATTAAAAGAATGCAAAAAAGTTTAAATATTTTGACTTCTAAATCTATGTTTATCATAGAATTCTCACGGAGATTTAAGAAGTTAGGTATATGAATGACGTGATAGGAGATAATATCAATATATTAAAGACGAATTTCGATTTCAATTTTGATTTATGTAAAGCTTTTAAACAGCATGGACCCACAAAAACATGATTTAAAGGTTGCAAGCTCTCAAGAAGAAATCTATGAGAATTTTGCCAATTACTTCTTAAAACCCAAAGCTAACAACAAGTGCTTTATAGTGCTAAAACGGACATGTAAAGATCTATAAGAAAAGCATAAGTGAGTTAGAGCGGTTAAATCAAAACCCAAGGCGTTGTGACATTTCAAAGTCGACCCTGTCATAAAAATTTATTAAACTTTTTACAAACAGGCTGAATGTGAAAGAGAAACGGTGAGCTGTCGATTAAAAAAGCTTCTCTTTATACATTTACCTGTAAACTTGTAATCCGAAAAAACTTGTTAACAATTAAAACTTTACTATAAAAAATGTCATCTTCATTATCTATATATAAATTTGGCTTGTCTGTCTGAGTGTTTGTCTGTTTGTTTGTATCCAATAAACGACAAAACGGCGGAATTGATCGGGACCAAATTTTGTATGGGACCTCACGTGACCCCAGGGAAGGTTTTGAACGATCAAAATTCGAAAAATTTGTGTTTAAAAGTTTTTTATTTTTGTAAAATTTTCAAAATATTGTGAAATCCGCCAACTTTTTTTGTTTTTGTTTTATACTGACAAAGAGAAGATGCCAAGAGATAAAGCCACAATTAAAAGTGGAAATAGAAGATGGGCGCGAAGCGCACTAAAAGCCTAGTATTGATATAATCGCCTACAGCACCGTGCGTAAAATGTACCTGTCATCTAAATCATGAAGTTTAGAATCTCTCTCAAGAACTTTATCAATATTATTCTTCATAACTCCAACAACATCTTTAACCTTAAAACCAGTGTCAATTCAGAATTTTGCCAAAATGCCAAAAGTTCAGAGAAAAAATTGGCTTTATTTTTGGGTCACTTTTACATTGTTAAACATTATATACATATTTTCCTGTTGTTTATGTCCAATTCTTTAAAAGGTTTAAAAACCCCTAATTAAACAAGCCGTCCCCCCCCTCCCCCTCCGCCCGATTTACGCAAAAGTTCGTTAATTAGCTCGACCCCCACCATCACTTTATACACATACATCTAAACATCTTGCTTTTAACCTTTGTGACAGGAATAATAATTGTACTAAAACCTTTTCTTTAAAAGTGAATACTTGCAAATTATCTTTTTTTCCATCTGATAATCTGAGTTCGTTTCCCTTATGTCCATTTGACAGCCCAAATTTTTATTTTGAATAATCTTTTTTGTTTGTTTATTTTCTTGTAAATTTTTAACACACATTTTTTTATATTTCTTTATCAATTTTGATGGTTATATCGTTAAAACTGACGAGGGTCAACCCAGACCAAAATATATTTTCAATAAATGTGGAACTAACATCTACTTTTTCACTCTACAGAGGTTTTGTCCATCACCATCACCGAATTTTAAATTTTCCTGTAATTATTGGTGTATTTTCAACATTTTCAATTATGAGAAATTGCAGAGAGTTGTAGACTAGATGATTGATTTCTCATTAAACATAAAAACTGTAAATATGGGATGATAATTGCATATCAATCCGGAAATAAAAGGATTCCAAAATCTGCAGTAAAGTCTTCAATTCAAGTAATGGGACAAGACGACTCCCTTTGCACTAGTACAGTGAATCCTAGATTTATGAATACATAGACCGTTTTCATAAGTTTTTCATAATTCTAAAATACTTCTTTTGTCTTAATTCAAGGTAAATTAATCGCCCTGAAGAATTATAAATGCAATTGATATATTAATATCAAACTCATTTTTCCGCGGCATATTTGATCTTAAATAAGTAATACGACATTATACAAAACTCTTTCTATTTATTTATATATCTCAGATTCACTGTATTAAAAACGTTATCGTCAAATTGATACTTATTACTGCACATACCCTCTCTTCTAGCCTTCTAGCCTAGAAAAGTTTACACCAATTTAATACCTTTTCTACAGGGTGTCCCGCTATCATATTAGATCGTCATGATGGGTCTAATTATTACGTTATCGACACTAATAAGAAATTTTAAAAAGAATAAACCATTTCATAAAATTGAATTTAAGGTTCATATAAAATTTTTCTTGCAGAAAATGTTAGGTTTTTGCGAATATTATATGTTTATTATGGCGTTAAAGCTTAAAGATAATCTAATATGATATGGGACGCTTGTCTGGAGGCTAACAGTGGGATCTTCCAGCAGAGTTCTGCAAGATTGAGAAGAAAATATTGGTACCAGTACGTTTTGACTTTATTTTTTCATCCCTTTCCTCCTTTTCTTCATGTGCTCCCTCTTCTTTCTTTTTCTAAAACTGTTCCATGTTTTTTATATCTGCAATCCCTGTATGATTTTTTTATTTTACCTCATAAAAATTAAACAATTTTATAACTGGAACCCTTGCAAGTGCAAAAAATAAGACTTGAATGCCGTACGGTCGTCAATGAAGTCTCATTCTTTTTGGGTAACCCTGTATGATTTTTTTATTTTACCTCATTTTGAGCTGCTGCTATCTGAACAGAATTCATATTCAACCCTCTCTTCTAGCCTTCTAGCCTTGAAAAGTTTACACCAATTTAATACCTTTAGGGTGTCCCGCTATCATATTAGATCGTCAAGATGGGTCTAAATTACGTTTTCGACACTAATAAGAAATTTTAAAAAGAATAAACCATTTCATAAAATTGAATTTAAGGTTCATATAAAATTTTTCTAGCAGAAAATGTTAGGTTTTTGCGAATATTATGTTTATTATGGCGTTAAAGCTTAAAGATAATCTAATATGATATGGGACGCTTATATAATCTCTAACAGTTTAATTTATTAACTAAGAATTATTGCAGAAACTCCCCCCTTTATACTCCTCTCACCTTACTTATATTGATATATTTCAACAAAATAAAAAGCATGACGTATTCAAAACTAAATAATCATTTCATTAGAACTAAATCCTAATCGTTATTGCACGGCACTCCCAGAGCCCCTCACCTCAAATCTTAAAGAGGACAAATATATATTCCTTTATAAAAAGCTGGTTTTTTGGTATGCAACAATTTTCATTGAATCCCGGCGGGATTTTTCATTAAACACTGCATTGAAAAATCTTAGAAATGCGTGAATTTTTTTTTACAAAATTCACAAATTCCAATTTTAAATCAGTAAGTTCTCTTTCAGCTTTTTAAAAAGGAATGTAATTTATTATTCTTAAAATTATGCTTTCTTTGTTTTTGAAGGATGGGGAATCAAAGACGACTTTTCTTTCCATTTTGGAATTCATTCTCAAACTGTGCGGACTGTGCGGCATTAGCGCAGTCTCAATATTTTCTTGATTGATCGAGATTTATCTGAAGCGAATTGCCCGAAAAGAAAATTAACTCAGTTGATTATTAATTTTAAGTAAAACATTTCTAAACCTGAAAGTGCTTTTAAGATTTGTGAATTTTATCATTCAACTTTCATTTGATATTTTTTTTTCAGAAAATGGCGGAAGCTAGAGATCGTGCATTGAACGAAATTGCTACACTGAAAGAAGATTTTATTGAAACCTTAGATTCATTAGAATTGACAGAAGATAGGAAAGACATTGTCAGCCGAGCTATGAAAGATCTTTCAAAGGTTTGTTTTCCTTTACTCTAATTGTATTGTACGGAAGAAACATTACATTAAATTCTCCGTCAATTTTCTTTCTTGTTAGAATTATGAATACTTACTTAACTTTCTAGCATTGAAATCATGTAAAATAATCGCAATAAAATTTAAAGCAAAAATTATTATTTGGTAATTTCCTAGGGAACGATTTTTGGAGCCCCCCTCCCCGCCTAGGCCCCCCGGGCCCTCCCTCTCCTATCAATTTTGTACAGCCCGTCCTAGCCGCGGCGCTCGGCCTCCTAGCCAGTCCTAGCCGCAGTGCTCGGCCCAGAAATTGTTTTAACCTAACCTAACCTAAAATAATAATAATATTTTTGCTGAAAAATGTAATATAAGGGGTCATGTACAAAATTGATAGGAGGGGGGGGGGGGGGCGGGGGGGTCCATAAAGTGTTCTCTAGGACGGACCCTATTATTTTATATCATAGATTTTTACGTAGCAACGTGGTGCGTAGAATCACAAAATTATATTTTTTCAGAAAGTTCTGCATTCTGTCCATTCTTTGTAAAAAAATACAGTCCACAATAATTCAATGAAGAATGTAAATATCTGTGTATCTAGAAACGAATCTAAAATCGTAAAGTCATAAACTATGGCAGAGGACTCTAAATATGTAAAATAATTATCCCTCTATTTTTCTGAATTCTGTGTGTAACAGTATAGTGTATACAACTGAACCCAAACTAAATTATTGAATATGATATTCAGACAGAAAGAGCTTCAGGGGTTTATATTTTCTCAAAAGAATTATTTTCCCCCCTGAAGTCCTGATTCTTTTTCGGGTTTGCGTTGAATTTGGAAGAAGTAATGATTTTGATGATGGGGNGTTAAATTCCAAAAGGTACATATTTTAAAAAAATTATTTGACATTCTTCTAAAAAATAATTATGCTTAAGTCAGATTTTATTTCAAAATAAATTAAAACTGAATATTTCGGTAATAAATATAAAAATGAACGATAAAATTAGTCTTTTAATACATCCCACTTTTCAATGTTTCCACAAATTAATTAAATTATTGTTCCCCCTGAAAACGCACACCGCGGAAGAAGCTCGTTTGATTAGTACTAAACAAAAATAATATGTTGCAGGCCCCGGCACCGAAGCAGATGTTGGTCGGCGGAACGGCTGGCTGGTTGGCCGGCTACACTACAATGAAGCTTGGAAAGATGGCAGCCACAGCTATCGGCGGAACTCTTCTTATTCTTCAAATAGCTCATCATAAAGGATATATTAAGGCCAGTTAACTTGATTTAAATTGATATGATATTTATTAAGGGTTTTTTTATTTAGGGTTTTCTGATCTGATTTTTTTTTTTTTTGGTCTTCAAAGTTTTTATGTTATTTCATTTAATCATTGGAGGGATATATGAATTCTTGTAAGATAATTACACCCTCTTTGTAAATATTTTTTTTCTCCAGGTCTTCTGTAATCGCTTAATCACAATTTTTTTCAACAAAATAATAAACTTTTGCTGGAAAATTATCAATATGAGCTTGCAAATTATTAATGAAATTATCTTCCCATTACCATGGATACTCTCTATGTAATAGCAGGGGTGTATATTGTCACAAAAATAATTCCCCCATTTTGAAATTTTTTGTTCTCCCAGAAAGTATAAATATTTGTTATGGTTTTATTCGCTTAATTGGGGAACTAAAAATATTTTTAGTAAAAAAAAGAACCTCTGGGTATAAAGTAACCGTAAGTATGAAAAAACTTGCCTCTTGATGGTCAATTTTTCATTTTTCCCAAATCATAATAATCCTCCCCCCCCTCCTCCTCTCCAGAGCCCGCGATTTAAAAAATTCGGGGAAATACGGCTCGGGTCTAAGCTGTCGTTGGACCTTATTTACGGCTTGAGCTTTCGGATTAAAGCTGCATCTTATTTTCCACAGAGTTGAATTNGAACAAGACGCAACATTGAGTCTTATTCTCCACTAAAACCAATCAAGGTCGGTTTTATTTTCATTGGGCTTAACTCCTTAAGTCGACCCGAAGATCTTGCAGCTGTCAATCACGTGACACAAGCTGTCGTTAGAGTTGGGTCGAAGATTGGCTTTTAAAGTTGGGTTTAAAGAATTACGACTCGAGCCGAAGCTTTTAAATCGCGGGCTCTGGGTGGAAGTTAGTTCTGAAAAATATACAACTCTGGTTTATTTTTAATAATCCTTGGATTAATCAGGTTGATTGGAACAAGATGACGACGGACTCCTCCTCTATGGCGGAGAAGCTCAAGAAGAAGCTCCACATCAAGTCCAAGTCGGGACTAGAGAAGTTTCAGGATTTTGCCGCTAAAAATATATACGTTGCCGGAGGCTTTACTGGAGGATTTTTCCTTGGCATTGCTTCCTCTTGATCTGAATATTAGCATTACCATTTTTATTTACAGAAATCAGAAATGTTCGATAGCAAACCAAATATTCTTGTATAGTTCCTGACAGTGTTTTTTCCCCAAATATATATTTACTCAAAAATTTCATTTTATTTACTCAAAAATTTCTAGAGATAACTAAAAATATATTTTAAAACTATTAAATTTCAGACAAGAATGGCGGCTTTTCTCTCTGTGATAGAAAGTATAGGTAAAGACGCGAATGAATTGACCGAGAATGAAGATCACAGCGAGGACAAAAGCTTACAGATTGACGAAAAAGAATTAGAGGAGCAAGTTAATGATTTAGGAATACATGGATTAGTTTGTTTTTATTTCAATCTAGTTAATTTGTACGCATATTTAAACAAGTGATAAATATTTATAGACCAAGTTTTGTGTTGAAATTATTTTTATCTAAAGCATTCTTGGGAACAGGATCTATTTAATTTAGATCCGGAATCAGATCCTCTATTGCAATAAACAGTTGGATTTAAAAACCTAATCCATAGATCATGTTCAGTGGAAATACGGAAGAAAGATGTTTTGAAAAAAAATCTAATGAACATTGTTCGTGAAAATTTAGAATTAAAACAGAAAATCAAAATTTTGGAATCCAAACTGGAAAATCAAACCTCTAATGATGACAGTTATAATCTCTTATTTAGAATAGGTGAGTCTTTATCTTCTGTTAACGGTCCGGGGGTTCCATACAGGGTTCTCTTTCAGATATTCTTATTATTATTAAGAACCGATTTTTTTAACGTTTTTTCTGCTTGTAGATGTGGACGGAGACGAAGAAGTTCCGTCCCCACAATCGACCAATTTACAAACCGGTCTTATTCTTACAGATTCCCAGGAGGTAACTATCAATCAATCAATCAGTCAGTTCTGCAATGAATCGATGATTCAACGACTCATTTTCAAGGAAGTTGTTGACGAGGAACCTAAGAAGGGTGGAAACAAGTGCTTCAACTGTTTGGGTGATCACATGATGTTCGACTGTCCGAACCCCAGGGACCAGAAGGAGATCAACAAGAACAAGAAGGAGTTTGCGATGAAAACCGCCATGTTTAATAAAAACAGGTAACTATCGGGGTAACACCATAACAGGTTTTGAATTGAAAAATGGAAACCCAAATAAGAATTTTTCTCTTAAAATTTGTTGAAAATTTTTCTAAGATTTTTTTTTGCATTTTTTGTTGTTAAATTCCAAAAGGTACATATTTTAAAAAAATTATTTGACATTCTTCTAAAAAATAATTATGCTTAAGTCAGATTTTATTTCAAAATAAATTAAAACGGGGCCGACAGATGTATAAAATGAAATTTTTCATCTTCAAAATCTTCCAAGGATAGGATAACATACATAACATATAAATGTATATTTAAATATATATAGATAATAATATATATAAATATATATATATAGTATTTTCAACTTTTTTCAGTTTAAATATACATTTTAGATGTATTAATACTGAAAAAAAGTTTGAAATACTATATAAGTCTCCACTTGTGTGTCGAGAACTCTTGAAATCCTTGGTTTTCTACAATTGATAAATGTATAAATATATATATTTATATGACATTTTGTTTAGATATCATGTTGATGAGCCACAGAAGTTTGGTCATCTCCAACCTGGTCTTCCGTCCTCTAAACTCCGTGAAGCACTGCGCCTGCGCGATGATCAGGTTCCGGAGTATATTTATAGAATGCGTGCTCTGGGTTACCCTCCGGGCTGGTTGCTGCATGCAGAGATCAATTCATCAGGAATACAGCTCTATCATGAAAGGTAAAATGAGTCGAAAAGATGACATTCTAATAAGAGGCCCCCTAATCTCATTATCCCAGGGGGCCCTGACAGATTGGGCCACTCGTTTTTTTTATAAGAACACTTAGATGAGGCTCTTTGTTATGAATAAAATGAAGCCAGCCAAAATTAATTTTAATATAACCTCTAATCGTTTTGTTTGGAAAATGTGTGGGATTGACAATAAACAAATTATTGTTAGGTGGGATGATCTTCATATGAAATATATTTCCCTGAACAGTGCTTAGGATCCGGATCTTTTGGCTCTGTAACTTTTTAGTTCCCTGGATCCGGATCATTAACAAGTTAGCTCCCTTGGATCCGGTGTCACGTTAAAAAGTTCCGGGCGTGAGATAATGTCCGGGTACTGTATTTCGGTATTAAACCATAAATTTGAAAATATTTAAATATATTTATAGATTTCCATATATTATAGATACAAATTTTTACACAATTATTGCATGTGCAAGAGATAGAAATTAATTTTTTCATATTATTTAATTCTTTGAAAGGAAGACGACATCTAGTATTGCTACATTTAAAAACTAATTTATCTATATGTTTACGTTTAGCAGATGTTTATCAATGCATCAGTAATTTGATATTGTGGGGAAAGTGTCCAAATCATCAAGATGTGCCTCACTACCCGGGCATTATCTCACGCCCGGGGCCCTCCTCGCCGGATCCGGATCGGCATGAAACAAATTTCAAGTTTCTGAATACAAAAAAAAATTGGATATTTGGAAACTTGATTTTGGTGAAATCGGCAAAGCATAAAGAAAAATCATGAGCTGGTTTCGGATCCGGTTTTGTACGCGGATGTGGATTCATGTTGGAAGGACTAAAAGAAGTGGATGTCGAAGATCTACTCTTAACAGTCTCTATTTTTATTTTGCACCGAAAACTTTTCAACATTTTTTATTTTAGAGGACAGAAGGTTGAGGACCCTTGTAACGAGGACGGAGAGGTTGTGGATGAGAAGGATAAGGTTGAGTTTGATATTGAGAAGCTGATTGACTGGCCGGGGTTCAACTCCGAACTACCGAGAGAGTACAGAGATGAGTCCAGTAAATATCGCGCAGTTCCCTTTAATAGAGTTCGCAAACTAAAGGTTAATATAATAGTTCTAGTATTGTTTTGGATTGATTGATATTTTGATATATATAACGTTTATATAATTTAGTTTTTTAACAAACCATCTATATTAGGGTGACACATAGGGGGTTAACAAATTTTTTTGGGTGCATAGTTTCTTTGGGTGATGTGGCCCAATATGAGCATTTTGTGAAAAGTTAAGTTTGATCGGAACATCGCATCACGTGGAAGTCGTTTTCAGGAAAAAATCACAAGCGGCCCCCTAGCATATTTTAGCCGCAGCGCTTGACCTTCAAACATTTGGTTCCACTAAAGCCTCTTTACATAGAACAATAGAAATAGAATAAATGTAAATACGAAAATACGAAAATATTCTGGAGTTTGATTGTTAAGAAGTTTGTCTTTCCGGAGATTTTGTTTGTTGCGGTTTGTATTTTAGGAGCCGAGTTTGTCCTTCAGAAGTTTGTCATTGCACTTTTAAAAAGTTGCTTTTTCTTCCAATAAATAAGCTTATCCTCTCTAGACCTATTTTATTTGTTTGTATGAAAACTCCCTAAAATAATCAATGTTGTTTGGTTGTTGATATACTTTGTTGTTTCTGAAGATGTTTACGTTGTAAACCGCAATCCTGCAAAATGTCAATTTCGGGCCATTTTAATTTGCACAATTTGATATGTTTAATTTATGATGAATAAATAAAAATACAATTAATATTTAAGGATATGATTGATGAGTTAAAACCCAGGGAACAGAAAGCATATGTTCGATCTAAAATGCAGGTAAAATTTTCTAAATTTTTAAACTTAGGTGTTCTCTAAATCCATTTTTGACACGCTCAGACTGTGCCATAAAATGAACAAAGGGGATGGTGGAGAATTGGAGATGTCCTATTTGATGTAGGGAGGAAGGGGGCCCTGCCTTCATTTTTGGTTCAAATCTTCCAATTTTTTGGCTGCCCGCCTAATTAGTGATCGAAATTCCTAAAATAAAATCAAATTGAATTTTAAAGACTTCTAATGACCTCTAATGACCTCCACAAATAGAAAATATTTTAACTATGGCTTTTATTCACATCAAACGAAAGCTAGGAACCCAGGGAATACAGTAGCAGCAACAAATCCAGTGTTTGATCTTCTAATGACCACTAATGACCTAAATGATCTCCAAAAAAGAAAAGGTTTTAACTAAGGCTTTATGCGTATCAATTTAAAGCTAGGAACCTTAGGAATACAGTAGCAGCAACGAATCCAGTGTTTGACCTTCTAATGACCTATAACGACCTCTAATCCCGGTTTTCCGGTTAACGTAACGTAAATCGCAAAATTTCCAGTTTCCATTTTGTAACCGGAAATTTTAACACAATGTTTTACATAGAAAGCAATGTTAAAACACTAAATGTTGAAAGTTATTAGTTGACATATAATAAATACGCATTCAGTTTATATATTCACAAATATTTTACTATAGTTCATCATGACTATTTTACAGTTACAGTTTTCACTTTCCCCACAATATTTTTTGACAAATTAGTTTTTATTTTTCAAGAGGGTCAACGGATAATGAGTATATAAAAACTAGCCTTATAAGGCGCTTCGCGCCCATCTTCTAAATTAATTGTGAACATGTTCTCTTTGTGTACATCGTAAAACAAAACAAAAATAATCCGCGGATTTTCAAAATTTTTAAAAATTTAATGAAGATCGAATTTTTATGGAGACAAATATTTGAAATTTTGATCATTCATAAACCTTCCCTGGGGTCCCTAGATGTCCCACAAAAAATTTGGGCCCGATCGGTTCAGCCGTTTTGACGTTTATTGGATACAAACAGACAGACAGACAGGCAGACAAACAGACAGACAAGCCAAATTTATATTTAGATTAGACTTCAAATTGGTGAATTAAGAAAAATATAAATTTCGACTTTTTTTCCCGTACAAATTTTTAAACCAATTTTAAACCTTCCCTTGGGCCATGTGAGTTGCCTCACAAATTTTGGGCTTGGTCAGTTCAGCTGTTTTTACGTTTATTGGATTCAAACGGACAAATAAACAGACGAGCAAAGTATATAAATAGAGTGGGAATCAGAAAACTCTGGAATAGGAGGACGACTTTTAGACTTTATGACTTTAATTAGTTCAATTGACATAAGACACGGCAATTACGTAGTGTATACTATACTGTATACAGACAAATTTAAAAGTTATTTTATAAGATACTATTTGCTTTGTAACAACATAGTATTACTTACTAGTTTAATTTTACATAAGTTTAAGATGTCTTTAACGTTTTCCGGAACCTCTTCCCGGAAAATTCAAGAACGATTTTCCTGAACAATATTCCGGAACATTCTGTAATTCCGTAACAATGTCCGGAACCTTTTCCATAATGGAAAAGGAAAAAAATTCCGGATCATTTCCGTACGTAAACATATGGACTGTCATGTTCCCACTATTAGCTTATCTTAATAATTATATAGGTTTTGGATGGTACAATAAGTTGTCGAGCGACGGGAACCTAAAACAAATACTATTTTAAAGTTAAAATACCATAAATATTTTTTTTGCAAATCTTATTAATCTTTATAAACCTTGTTAATTTAAGTTTTGGATGAAATTCTTGAAAGTGTATTTAACCAATTTTACTGTTAAGGATACAAGTGTGAATGACAAGGTTGAGACAATAGATCTTGACGGAACCATTGTTCTTGATTCAACAGTTGAAAGTGATACAGAGATGGAGGAAGTGACACAGGACATTAACAAGGAGGTGAAGAAGGACGGGAAGGATACGTCAGGGTTGAATACTCCTTCTATATCAACTCCTACTCGTCAGCACAGTTCTTCTTCTACAGGGATTAATGTCGTCTCCAAAACTGAACCGGGTAAAATCTTATTAGCTTTTTTTGCAATATTGAAATTCTAATTATTGGCTATTGTTTTTTTTAAAGATTTTTTATCATATATTGTCTTTTATACTCTGCAAACAGGGTACACAAAAAGTTAAGAAGTAATTTATGTTTAAAATTTTAAATTTCATGTTTACTTTGGAATAATCGTTAAAAAATGCAATTTTGTATTACGATAAAATTTTCTCATTGGTGATCAACATAAAGATTTTCTCATGACTGTTTTTGTTTCAAGATTAAAACTATTTGGAAAATATGAATTGAAAATGTTTATAACTGCAATGTTTAAGAACTCGACCTGGGGATAAAGTCGAATCTCAAATTGCCCTAATTTTTTTGTTGAAATTATTTTCTCTGAAGTGTTGATTTTTTAAAGTAAGAGATGAATTCTGACTGTCAACTGTTTAGGTACACCTATCTGTGAGATCTTCTCTCCGTTCTCCCGTCTTCCGTCCCAGTCCGGGTTTGCCAAGGATATGTCGGAGCATGTTGCTTTTGAAAACCTGCCAGATTCTACTGGGAAATGGGATCAAATGGTCGGACTCATCAAACGGATCAGGTTAGATCATATAAATTGAAATGATATAAAAACGGAAAAATCAGGATTAATTGTCGTATTCGTTCGTTTTTATCATCAAGATAAAGACTTTTTAATTAGCAATTTTAATACCTGTTAAATGTTTGATAATGTATACGTCACAATAAATCAGTTTTAAATGACAGAATCGTTAGTCAAGAAACTAAGATAACTACATTCCACTCTTTTTTGATCGCCAATGTATCTGTTTGATTCTGAGTTGAGCTGAAAACTTTAGAAATTGTGGATATGTGGATATCGAGTTTAATGCTTGATGTCATCCAAAAAGAGGGAAAAAGAGTGCGGCAGATTACGCAAAAATCATAAGTGTCCACAGTGAATATTCAGATTAATCGGTATTATAGAAACCCAATTCTAAAGTTTCCACTCTGATTAAATTGTCGCAAAAATGTCTTAAAATTATAAATTTTGTCACATTTATTTCATATTTTGAAAATAAAAAATAAATAAATTCTTTAAGAAAACGCCGTGTAGTTGAGGATGAAGATACTCCACCTGGCACCCAGAGCTAAGGATTCAGTCCTGAACATATTTAAGGACTCAGTCCTTAACATTTTCAAGAATTCTGTTCACAACATATTCAAGGATTCAGTTCTCAACATATTCAAGGATTCAGTTCTCAACTTATTCAAGGATTCAGTTCTCAACTTATTCAAGGATTCAGTTCTCAACATATTCAAGGATTCAGTCCTCAACATTTAAAGGACTCATTCCTCACAATTTTCAAGTATTCAGTCTTCAACATTTTTAAAGAATATTCAAAACATTTTTAAAGAATATTCAAAACTATTAAAACAACTTTGCCTGAGAGGTTTGTGATACTTCTTCTGAAAAGCCTTCACCTATCGGGGATTGTGATGGCATACCCCTTGTAGGTCAAGGAGCTGTTGGACGCATCCCTAGCTGTATGATATGATATGAAAGCTTACTATTAAAGATTAAACTGACTTGAAGATTCTAAATGAAATCGTACCTGATACAATATTTACTTTATTTTATGGATGCATTTTTTCTGGTCTTAAATAACCCCAGTTTTCAAATATGGACTGTGAGCAAGCATGGATATTGGAATATTTCAGGGGGGGGGGGTAGCCCCCGTTTTCCCCTAATTTATTCATTTTACTAAATCCTAGACTATGTTTATACAGTTTTCCTTGTTCCTTCTTCTGTGTTATTCAGTTTGTTATCTTGTTTGTAATAAAATATTTGTTGTACAGAATATTACCTATATTTCTGTTTAAAATTGTGCATGTTAATTATTCTATGAGATAGGGGAGGGAGGGAGGGAGGGCGGAAATATCCAATTAGAATGAGGCAATGATGAATTAAAAGACAAACTTCCCATCTTGCTCCACGGAACTTTATTTAAATTGAAAGTTATTCATGTTCCGACATCTCTGTTTAAAACCAAAAGAATAACAAAGGAATTTACAGAAAATTCCGAAGTTTTTGTGACAAGAAAGAGCTTTTAAAATAATAAAGATTGGGATTAAATGCTTCGTTTATAAATGACTTCTTTAAAATTTTGTTCTCTTCCCATGGTTTTATAATCAAGGATATAAATTAATTTCAATTTATTAAAATGATATTTGTTAACACTTTTCATTGTTTATGCTCAGCGTTCACATATCGTAATTTTTTGTGAAAATGAAAAAAGTAGATATTCACGTCACCTTTATAACATGTTTATTCACCCTTCAATAGGTATAGATTTAGAATGTACAGAAAAAAGGGGAAGAAGGCTAAGAAGATAAAAAATGGAGGTTGCAAAAAAGCTCTTTCTGTGGAGAAGGTTGAAGATAAGAATCTGAAGGATTCAGAAGAAGAACCTGAAAAGCATCAAAAGGAGAACAAATCTGCTAACGATGGATCGAGTTTGGAGGATTTTAAAGGATGCGCGGAAGAAATTAAGAAAATTGAAAAGTCTCAAAAGTTTCAAATAGAATTTATCAACGTAAATCTAATTATTTTTGCTAATTCTTAAACATAATATTTGCCATTTGGTTCTTTTTAAAGAAAATATCATTATTCTGTTTCTATACAATTAATTTAATGCAGGGTGTCTCAATAAACATGGGAATTTAGAGAGTATAGTAATACCTACTGAAAAAGCTGTAATCCGTGAGATTTTCGTCTGCTTTGTTTACTATTTGTGTTTATGTTTTGACCGCATACGGTTATACTTAGTAAAACAGGAAAATTACAGTATACAAGCAGAGTAAACTTGTCCGTCTTCACTGTTCATCTTGCAGAGACTATAGACACGTCTTTACATTCATTTACCGTTTTCATAAAATCAACTCTGGCAGACATAATAATATTATGGCTTTTTGAAATAAGGTATAACAAAGCTAATTCTTAACAAAGACTATCCCAAATTCGTCACTGAATTCACATGTTTATTGGGACACCCTGTATCATACCTCAATCTCCAATAGCAGGGGCGGATACAGAATTTAAGTGAGGTGGGGGGGGCAAGATTTTTTAGGAACAAAAAAATTAATAATTAGGAACAAAAATCGTGCCGCAGGCGAAATTTTTTAAGAAATTATATTATTATGCTTGAAGCTAAAAGAAAGGAAGAACTTATTTTGCTTTAATCACGGTAAAAACACGACTTGTTGCAGGACTGGGCCAGAACGGAACTGGATTTCTATGATGAGGCATCGAAGCTTACTGAAGGTTTTGTAGAGAGGGTGAGGGGGGGGGATATGGATTTACGACAGCTTAAGATCCTTGTTTCTCTGCGCGCCAGTTTATCGTAAATCTTCAAATACAAGTGAGCTGGACAATACTAAAAATATCTAATTGATAGAAACATAGAAAAAATCTGTTCTAATATGATTTATGAAATAAAACCGTTGGTGTCCAAATTTCCGCTGTCTCTGTGAAATGTAAGGTTACCCACAAAGAATGAGATTTCATAGACGACTGTACGGAATTTTTTCTCACAATCATGTTTTCCCGAGTAGCTTTAACCTTGCTTCATTATTTTTCCTAAACAATTAAATTGCCGTTAAAAACTTATTATAAGGCAGAAGAAGCCGAAATTCAATCTTCAAATCGTTGAATCTAAAGAATTTCTGGTCTTCATCCAATTCTTCTTCTTTTTGAGTAACCCTGTATCATGTGCTCGTAGAAATACTGATATAATAGCTAGATATAATGATTTTTCAAGTTTTACATTTTGCAATGGGAAATCCGTACTCTCGAGGTTCTTAAAAACAAGGGGGGTGAAATCTCCCAAAGTTGATGTAAACCAAAATTGGTTGATGATACATCAGTTTAAGATGCAACGACGTCATATGTGGTTATTTATTTTGTTAATTAAATGTCTATCTTGATTGACTATCACAGATTGAAGACGTTTCATGTTTCTAGTTTTGTTCTGACACCTTCTGCAGCAAAATTTGCGAATAAAATTTACATTGTTTAGAAGCTCTACTGCAAGAGAATTTAGAGTTGAATCCGCACATAGATCATTCTAAACTTAGTGGAAAGGAAAGGATTCATTGAGACATTTTTTAAACTGCAGCCTTGTTATCTAGCTTCCCACATTAGTAATCTACGAGAACACATTTTTTCATTATGAAACAAAAACACTTATTTGCAGTACACATTATTGTGTCCTACCTTGATTGTGTATTTGCAGTACACATTATTGTGTCCTACCTTGATATTGTGTATTTGCAGTACACATTATTGTGTCGTACCTTGATTGTGTATTTGCAGTACACATTATTGTGTCCTACCTTGATTGTGTATTTGCAGTACACATTATTGTGTCGTACCTTGATTGTGTATTTGCAGTACACATTATTGTTTCCCACCTTGATATTGTGTATTTGCAGTACTCATTATTGTGTCCTACCTTGATTGTGTATTTGCAGTACACATTATTGTGTCCTACCTTGATATTGTGTATTTGCTGTACTCATTATTGTGTCTTACCTTGATTGTGTATTTGCACTACACAATATTGTGTCGTACCTTGATTGTGTATTTGCAGTACACATTATTGTGTCCTACCTTGATATTGTGTATTTGCAGTACACATTATTGTGTCGTACCTTGATATTGTGTATTTGCAGTACACATTATTGTGTCCTACCTTGATATTGTGTATTTGCAGTACACATTATTGTGTCTTACCTTGATATTGTGTTTTTGCAGTACACATTATTGTGTCCTACCTTGATATTGTGTATTTGCAGTACACATTATTGTGTCCTACCTTGATTGTGTATTTGCAGTACACATTATTGTGTCCTATCTTGATATTGTGTATTTGCAGTACACATTATTGTGTCCTACCTTGATTGTGTTTTTGCAGTACGCATTATTGTGTCCTACCTTGATTGTGTATTTGATGCGCCACTGAAGAGGAATTAAATTAATCTGCAGTTCTGCATAAGATGGAGATCTATGATTGATCCCAAGATCCCAAACACAAAGTTCTAACCTCTGTACAGATTTTATTTAGTCTTATTTCATTCCATTTCACTGCTGCTCTGTACCATGATAATTGAAGTCAGATTTCAGGACCCGGGAAGTAAATAGTTCAAGGCCGTCAAACGTGTTGTTAATCGTCTTGGATCGTTTATAAAAAATAATATAACTACCAAGTTTCAAAACTGTGTTATGTTTAAATTTTGTTTTAATGCCTTAAAATAACGGAAAAACTAAACGATCGTTACCACATGTTCGTTTTTCATCGTTTTTGAATCGTTTGTATGAATATATTTCACGTAGTGTAAGAAAACCAAATGATTAGAATATGTAGAAAACATTTGCCCTTCTTACATTCAGCCAAATTTTGACCCGAAAAAATCATATAGGTAAAAAACGAACCAACAGAAAGCACATCACAAGTCCTTATTAAATTCTCATTTTTTGTGGTTAACCCTGAAACCTTGATGAGAGTAGAGTGCTGCACGTGCTCACGTGTTCTGGAACCACAGGTTGGATTATCATCCACTCATCTGCAGTCATATCTCAGACTGGGCTAGGGATCTCTTCTGTGGAAGGTATCGGGTAAGCTGTTTAGTGGATAAGAAGATTTTTGATAAGACGATGGTATCTTTTTTTTCCTTCCCTTGATTTTTTTTTTGGTGGAAATATAACTTGAAACAATTGCAGTTTTATTACAAGTGTTTACTACTATTTTACATACCTGCACTCTGTACTCAATAAATATTACAAAAGAAAACAAAAAATAGTAAGCATATTGTTAAAAAAGAAAACAAAAAATAGTAAGCATATTGTTAAAAAAGAAAAGTTACCAAAATGTTACCTTAAAATTTTGCAGATATGTTTTTGTTTAGAATAAAACAAGCGTCTGTGAGGTTTTTCCAATTTTAAAACGTGAAGTGGGAAAGATACAAGTTACAATTTATGAATTAAAAACTCTTTAAAAATATGTTATTTTTAGCTTCTGGAGGATTATCTAAAAGATAAGACGATCGATCAAGTAATCAGCAAGGTTAAGCATCGTGAATCCCTCCTCAAGGTCAACTCTGTGTTCCATGTGATACTCGGAGCAACCACCAGTCTAAACCCATTAGAACAGGAGATCTTTGACAAGTTGGATCCAAATGAGATTAATCATCCCAGGTTTGTGGGAAAATACTTCTTATCTCTCCTCCAATGGGAAAACGGAATATAAAAACAAGGTTACCTGCAAAATATAAAACTGTGAGATGATGGGATTTATTTACTCTGACAAATAGTTAAATTAGTTTATCCTAGACTAATAAATACATGAGACAAAATTTAAAGTTCTTATGTCTTACGTTTAATTCGTTTTAGGTCGTCATTAAAGTCTTATCTTTTGTGGGTCTTCATGAATGTTTAACTGTTTAGATGTCTCCGTCTCCTGTTGAATAATGGTGGATCAGTTCACTGGAGGGATGGAGCTGGATTTACTCCTCTCCAATGGGCCGTCAACTCATGCTTCGAGACCACCAAGGTTCAGGATGATATTGTCAAGCTTTTGTTAGATAAAGGAGCGGATCCTAATGCTCCGGATAGAACAGGTTCCACCCCGCTCATGGTGGCAGCACAGCAGGGAAACCTAAAATATGTTAAACGGTTCCTGAGTGCTGGAGGAGATCCAACCTTGTGCAACAATGACGGGGTTTCTGTGATGGATTGCGCTAAGAGTTATCCGGAGATAATCTCAACCCTTGTCATTTCAATCTCAAGATATTTCACTGAAGAGGAAAGAATTATTTTAGTTTCAAGGGATTGGGACCCCAAATCATGGAGTGGCATGTCTGGTTCACAATGGTACCGTTAAATCTTTATCTGAGTTAGAAAGTCACCAATATTCGTTCTTCTATCTCGGAAAGCGTAAAAATTCAGATAATTTTTCTTCTTTCACTCTGCAGCTAAATCCCCAAGTCATTTAAATAGAGAAACAACAACTAAAATTTATTCATTTTCCGCTAGATAAAGCTTTTAGAATCTCACACAAGAGTTTTGATTTTAGTATTAAGAAGAAATTGATATTCACAGTTCAGTCTACTTGATAAGGTCTTTTCATCTAAACTGATTTTATACATTATTTTAAACACACATTTTTCATTTGATTTTAAAAATCTTGGTCAAAAAATACATTTATTAAATTCACCTTTAAAGGGACTGTTAACGTAATTTCAAGTGACTCCATTTATTAAGTGGCATATTCGATTCACAACAGTATACCTTAAAAGCTTTTTCTAATCAAAAATAAATGAGCTATCCAGGTTTCTATTTTTGAAAATTAATTGCGATCAATTGTGGTTTCAGAATAAAATTCTTTTAAAGCTAGAAGCACGGCAATATTTGGCTTATTAGTGATAAGTTCAGCTTTAAACCCGGTACCTTAATGTCTCAGGGATGCGCTTCCTCTAAATGGAGGGGAATTACAACGAGAGCCCTCTACAAATTAATAAATTAAACCTGTATAGTCACCCATTTAAAGTTTGAGAATAAGCTTGAGACGCCCGCCTGAACTCTGGGAAGAGTTGTCTTTTCTGCATAAGCAACCGAGGCCCAGTGTAAAGTAAATGATTCTAGTTGGATCCGGTGTGTTCCAATGATAACTGTAAACGCCTGCATAAGACGATCTGTACAGGATGCTATTGGGGGCAGTACTGCTCTAAGACATGCCAGAAAACGCACTGGAGTAAACATAAGGAAATTATTTTCATTTTAAAATATTGAAAAAAATTAATTTGTTGAAAAGTTCATTGTTCAAAGCAAAAAATTTGATTTTTTGATAAATATTTTTATTTCAGAGGATTTGTAAAGCAGCTCCGATCCTTTTCAGAACTGCTAATCTCATATTCGACAGGCAAGATGTTTTTCTTGTTTTAAAGATTTTAAAAATGTTGAAAAAACCAAATTCTTGATACTTTTTTACTTAAAGGCCGACTCATTATCAGTTCTTAACGAAATTATTATTACCATTATTACCAAGAAAAAATATCAGAATTTGTTGTTTCTGCACTGAATGTGTTTTTTTCAACACCCTTTACTTTTCTGTTCATTTAAACATAATTTAAAAATGATTTTAAATGCGGTATGCTTTTATGTTTATCAAAACATGTATTTCAATGTCAAAAAAAAACAAAAAGTAACAGTGGTTAGGGCTAGGACTAGCACTCTTTCAGCTTCCACTGCATTGGTACTTCTTCAGCTCCTCTGAATATGGATCCAGATGCTGATAAATAGATCAAACTTATGAGCGAACTTTGCAAAAACTTCATGCCCTCAACTATTAACTCTTTGTCTGCAATTAAAACAAAGGAAATGAGTCTTTGCCACAAACTCGGATTTTTAAATCCCAATTTCTTTAAAACCAAATTTCGTAGAACGTGATATTTCAAACTATGAATTCTGATGGATCAAACAATGTAAGTTTGAAATATGATAGGTATTCATCATCTGGTTGTTGAGCTTTAGGCTTCATAAATTGGGATTTACGACAAAAACTCAATTCCTTTAGCGAAGAATTAAAAATATGATAATAATGTGATTTCTGAAGCTGGCTCCGGATATCTTTTATTCGGTTTGCATCTAAATGAAATGGCTTCCAATAAGGCACTGGAACTTTTCTAGAAGTAGAGACAGTATTTTAAAGTATCACATATCACATACACACATAGAAGACTGGCAGAATTTTTATCTAAAATTAATGGTTCACTGCAGTTGTTAACTTGTTTCTTTCTTTTCTCTGTTAATACACCTTTAAAAGTTTATATATAAGAAGAATCCCTGGATTAATAATTAAATCGGTATAATCGGTATTAGGTCAATATTAAAGTCTCATCCTTTTTTGCTCAAAGTTTGGATATTTGAAGTTCGGATCTAATAAGAGAAAGAAGTAGTTGAACTAAATCTACATAGTTCAGTTACTCCTCTGTGCCGCCAACTTGAACTAGTGAGAAAAAATTTAACCAGTCCTTTCCAGTTAAACTAAATCTAGCTTTTCGTGACTTCTCTACCTTAGCCCCTTCCTGATGACGAGAGGGATCCACGAGGGGAAGATAACAGTTGAACCTTATCCTCCGGTTTTTAACCCAACCCAGAGAAGGAAGAATAAAAAACATTTTTAGTAAATAAAATTTAAAATATGATTCATACCGAAATTGTCTCCCGAATTAGGAATGCTCATAAACTTTTAAAAATCTATGTTTCTTACTTTTGAAATGTCCTTCCATTAAACGTTTTTATTTTGCTTAAACATATTCTTCTTGTTGGTTAGATTCAGAATATGTGTCTATTTCCCGCAGGAAAATCAGGTATTTAAACTTTTGACACCGATTCTTTAATTCATTTGAGAACTCCAATTTATTGTATATTTTCTTTCTGTGTGTAAATAAATATGAAGGTGTGATGTAAGGATTGGAAGGAAGGGTGAGTCACAGGTTTTTAAGTTTTTAAGACAAGGGAAGATTTTAACCTCAGTGTTTTTGTCTGTTTGTAATAATTTATGTTTACATTTTTCGGTAAATATTAAAAGAACAAAATAAAACTGTTTGAAGTGGGAAATTTTTAAACCCAAATCAGCCAAACATTTGTTGTTTAATACACTAGTTTTAATACTTAACAAAGGTTAAGAAAATTGAGGGACAAAAAAGTTCTAGAATTATAAGATAAGTGGTTTAGATCAAATTCAAATTTTTTAAAAATTTCCCAGTTGTGTCGAAAATGGTCATTCATATACAAACCATGAATTAAGGATTTTGATAGTAATCTATATAATGAAACAAGACATTCATATATATGATCCCTATAGCCGGCCAAATGGCTGGACCGAATGGGTTGAAAGTTTTTGAGGTAACCCATAAGTAGCCTGAAGGTGATATAGGCTAAAAAAAAGTAAAAAAAAAAAAAATTTAGTAATTTTAATTAAAATTTTTTTCCACAGGCAATAATAAAAGATGATAATTCAGACAAAATAGTTTAAAGTTTTACTATTAGAAATATCTGCTTTTCTGTCCGTTAGATCACAACTGTTCAACTTCTTGACCGATTTGTCTCAAATTTTGATTGGTGAACCTGTTCAAACCACAGAAATGGTTGATCATTTTTAAATTTATAGTGAAGTTTATAGATAAATTTTAGTTTCCAGGCAATGCAGGGTTCCCAAACTAGTATATATACATATATTAGGCCAATCTTTGCACAAAACTATTTTCAGTGGGAGGAGGACGCCCATGCAGTTCTGTTTACACTTGACTACAGTATTGTTGCAGAGCTGAAATACAGTCTCAACAAGGAAGGGTCTCCTATATTATTTTGTTAATATGAACACTTTTAAGTTTTAAGTTAGAAATTTTAAACTTCAAGCTTTACAGGAAATATCTCTTTTTAGCGAAGAAAAACAATCTTTATTTTTTGTGTTAATTGCAGAGAAAATTTGATTATCAAAATGAAATATATTTTCTCAGAAAATTTTAACAATAGCTCAGTTTTACTAGGCCTCCAGTCCTCTTTTGATAACCTAGGCATAATTTTTTTGGGGTGTATTTTTATTCTTTTAGATGTTCATTGTTCACTGTTGCTCAAATACAAGTTTTTCGGGGGAACATTTTTAAATATTGACTAGCCATAATCCATTGATTGAACTCTCTGAGGCCTCACACAATAGTAAAATTTTATTGATTAAGTCGAAATCTAAAAAGTGGACAAACTCTTATGAGTACCTAACCTTCAGGAGTTGTACGTTGAGCTTCTTCAACAGTATAACGTAAGTTTTGGATTTTTAGATTATTCTAGAACATTTTTATTTACAATTTTAAGTTATCGGCAAGTTTTAATCATTATTTGATTTAATTTTTTTATTCAAAGACTTTTTCACACACATTGATATATTATATACATTCATGATTATTACATATTACATATATTAATGGTGTAGTTAAAATTTGTTTTGTTGAAATATTAGAAATATTCTCTCTCATAATCTCTAATTTCCATATGGGAACCTTAATAAAGTCGATCACTGTAAAAAAGTTTACTTACTTATTTTCAGAGAAACCCTTTCATCAAGTTAAACTGTGTCTGGAAAAATGAACCTGACAAGATCTATATACTTCCTTAGTGATTTATCGGATAGTTCATATTGAACTATAGTCGTTAAGTGTCTTATATATTCATAACTATTTTTTTGCGCATTTTTATATTGTAAACAACACATTTTGTACAGCTTTGTCATCATGTTATATTATTGTGTTCTGTGAGTGTGCAGTATTGTAAATACAGTAGAATCCTCATTTTTTGTATTTTTTGTTCAAGGTTTTGATAATGTTCGTATCTTTTACAGGTTTAAGAATTGTTTAACAAATTGTAATTTTTTACAATGTTTATGTTGAATAGTTTTCTTAAATGGATTATATTAAGCTTTTGATCATTTTTTTGTAGAAAAAAAAACAATGAAAAACGTATAATTGTGGAAGTCTACTAGGAAGGTTTTTTACTCTGATTATAGTTCTTGCCTGCAGTGCCCACTCTGGATTCTGTCAGTTACTTCTCTCTCACTTCTTTCTTTTTGTATTTCTTCTCTGTAATCCCAATATTAAGTTTAGTGGCTGAAGTGCCCAACGTTGCCAAGGTTTATATTTTTTATAGTCATAGTTACTTTGCCATTTTCCCGCGCTTGGTATTAAATTTTAGCTGTAGTGCCTGGGCACGCACCTCTGACCCTTCAGTAAAAGTAAATTCAACCTAAAGTCTGACCGCGTCAACCTTGTTGCACCGGTTAGTCCTATTGAGTGTCTGCTTTATTTACCCAATGTCCAGGCGATACAGTACAAACTGGGACCGGAAAGGTTGACCAGGCTCAGAAATTCAAAAATTTTATGGGTTTCCTAAAAAAATTATTATATAGATTACTACTTTCTTTTTTTACATGCCATCTCGCCATCTTTTGCTTCTCTTTGCAGAATTCATTTGTTTTTAGATTCTGTCCTCTCTCTAAGGCATAAATTATATCTCTGTCCATTCTCTTTAATTTGTTATTTTTTCCTTTTTATTGCTTACAACATATAATTCTTTATTATGTTTAACTATTCTCTATTTTCCTGCTCTATATGTTACTACTCTGTATATTTCTCCTGAATCCTCCTACTCTGATCGGAAAGAAAGCCGACTGGAGATAGTGACATATGTGAGAAACCTGTCCCTCAGACCAGACCTAGACATAGAGAACTAGTTGAACATTGATCCTCCTTCCATATAGATCTAGAAACAGGTTCGTAGTCTAGGATACCAGGTTTCAATATTTGTTCAAGGATTTCATCCACAGATTTTACAGATAGGACAAGAGAGGTAATTGTTTTAGTCCTGTAACTTCTGTATAGATCATACTCAGTTGTTCTTAGGGGCCTTTAAACATTTTCTTCTTATTGTGGTTTAGTGGGAGAGATCTCATGCTTTAAGGTTAAAATGTACAGTGTACATTATACAACAATTACATTTCTTGTACTATCAGTGAGTTGATGGAAAGCAAGTGCGTTTAACATTCTAAGCAACTGTAAACAGATGTTTAGGAACTTAATAATAAACTAGATAAAGACACTTTTAATTGACTTTTCTGTTACTTAATTTGAAAATTATGAGATTAGAAATTAATTATTTAGAAAATTTTGTTGATAAAAGAATTGTTTTAGTCAAAGTTTGAGTAAATTAAAGATGGAAACTGTTTAAGTTTAACTTTCAGTGTTAAACTGATTTTTTTAAAGTTTGAGTGTATTAAAGATGGAAACTGCTTTAGGTAAAGTTTGAGTGTATTAAAGATGGAAACTGTTTTAGTTATAGCTTGAGTGTATTAAAGATAGAAACTGTTTAGTTAAAGTTTGAATGTATTAAAGATTAAAACTGTTTAGTTAAAGTTTGATTGTATCAAAGATGGAAACTGTTTAAGTTAAAGTTTGAGTGTATTAAAGATTAAAACTGTTTAGTTAAAGTTTGATTGTATTAAAGATGGAAACTGTTTAGTTAAAGTTTGATTGTATCAGAGATGGAAACTGTTTAAGTTAAAGTTTGAGTGTATTAAAGATTAAAACTGTTTAGTTAAAGTTTGAGTGTATTAAAGATGAAAACTGTTTTAGTTCAAGTTTGAGTGTATTAAAGATGGAAACTGTTTAAGTTTAACTTTCAGTGTGAAACTGATTTTTTTAAATGTTTGAGTGTATTAAAGATGGAAACTGTTTAAGTTAAAGTTTGAGTGCATTAAAGATGGAAACTGTTTAAGTTAAAGTTTGAGTGTATTAAAGATGGAAACTGTTTAAGTTAAAGTTTGAGTGTATTAAAGATGAAAATATTTAAGTCACAGTTCGAGTGTATTAAAGATAGAAACTGTTTTTTGTTAAAGTTTGAGTGTATTAAAGATGGAAACTGTTTTAGATAAAGTTTCAGTGTATTAAAGATGAAAACTGTTTTAGTTAAAGTTTGAGTGTATTAAAGATGGAAACTGTTTTAGTAAAAGTTTGAATGTATTAAAGATGAAAACTGTTTTAGTAAAAGTTTGAGTGTATTAAAGATGGAAACTGTTATAGTTAAAGTTCTAGTGTATTAAACATGGAAACTGTTTAAGTTAAAGTTTGAGTGTATTAAAGATGAAAACTATTAAAGTTAAAGTTTGAGTGTATTAAAGATAGCAACTGTTTAGTTAAAGTTTGAGTGTATTAAAGATAGAAACTGTTTAAGTTAAAGTTTCAGTGTATTAAAGATGAAAACTGTTTTAGTTAAAGATTGAGTGTATTAAAGATGGAAACTGTTTTAGTAAAAGTTTGAGTGTATTAAAGATGGAAACTGCTTTAGGTAAAGTTTGAATGTATTAAAGATGAAAACTATTAAAAGTTAAAGTTTAATTGTATTCAAGATAGCAACTGTTTAAGTTAAAGTTTGAGTGTATTAAAGACAGAAACTGTTTTTTGTTAAAGTTTGATTGTATTAAAGATAGAAACTGTTTTTTGTTAAAGTTTGAGTGTATTAAAGATGGAAACTGCTATAGCTGAAGATGTATTTGGCTCTACAGATGATGGGATTCAGGTCAAATTTAATCTCTAGATGATCTTGTTTAGACTACTTTAAAGCGTAGATTTGCTTACAAAAGCTGAAATTTTTTTCTTCCAAATAAGTTAAACATTTCATGAAGAAATTCGCTTTTCCAATGTTTTATTATAAACTGGGAAATTTTTAATGTAGGAATTAGTTAAACTTTTGCTTTTCGCATTGTAATTTGCATCAACTTAAAATATTTTAGCTCAAAGAAATTAAGTGAGTTGTTCGTCTCTACTCTAGTTCGGTCTAATATATTCTTGTTATAGGTCAACCGATATACCCTCATCAATGGGGTAATTTCTCTTCAGGTTATCAACTACGGGGCTACCATTACTTCTCTAAAGGTAACACGTTGTTTTTGGGACACACTGTACTGTAAACTGTAAAGAGTTGATAGGTTGGATGTAGTTCTAGGGTTTGATGATAAATGTGATGGATGTAGTGCTAGGGTTTGATGATAAATGTGATTAGGTTGATGGGTTGGATGTAGTGCTAGGGTTTGAAAATATATGTGATTAGGTTGATGGGTTGGATGTAGTGCTAGGGTTTGAAAATATATGTGATTAGGTTGATGGGTTGGATGTAGTGCTAGGGTTTGAAAATATATGTGATTAGGTTGATGGGTTGGATGTAGTGCTAGGGTTTGAAAATATATGTGATTAGGTTGATGGGTTGGATGTAGTGCTAGGGTTTGAAAATATATGTGATTAGGTTGATGGGTTGGATNATAATTCGCGGATTTTCACAAAAAATTTCGTGGATTTTCAAAATTTTCAAAAATTTAATGAGGATCGAATTTTGATCATTTATAAACCTTCCCTGGGGTCCCTAGATGTCCCACAAAAAATTTGGGCCCGATCGGTTCAGCCGTTTTGACGTTTATTGGATACAAACAAACAAACAGACAGACAAGCCAAATTTATATATAGAAGTTATTAAGTTCTTGCTACAAATTCAAATTTTCGAATGCCATCATCTTTGCAACCTGATGGCGTAAACCTTTGATATTTCAAACTGAGACTGTTTGATCTAGTAGAATTTATAGTTTGAAATATCAAAGTTCTACAACATCGGGTTGCAAAGATATAGGTTTTAAAAAATTAGATTTTGTGACAATATGCTATATATTTATCTTAAAAGGAATTTTATATTTACTAGTCTCAACAGTAAGCAAAAAGCATGGTATTAAATATAATTTAATTATATTTAAATTTTGCAATTATATAATTTAGAAATATCTCTGCCCAATTTACAATGGTACCATTGAAAGCTTTGTCTGATCAAGTATGAATTTAATATCTACGTTTTTGTTTATATTATATGTTTATTTTTTCATTTTCTGCAAAAGTGACTTGCGTGCATAAGAAACAACGGAGAAAGTATCGGATTTAAGCACTTTTCGAGTCAGAAAAACGACGTTATCTTCCACATTTTTGATCAGATTACGGTTTCAAGGGTACCGTTGTTAATCGGTCCTCTTTGCATTGAAGGATTGCACTTAAAATAATGCTTTCAATCCCTTGAATAAATATTTTAAATATTCTAAACTGTTTGTATAGAACAATGGTGTAAACGCTCTGCACGGTGGGTTGAAGGGTTTGGATAAGGTTGTGTGGAATACAGCCGTATCATCCAACTCAGTTGTTTTCTCCTACCTGAGCAAGGACGGAGATGAAGGATATCCCGGAGGTAGGACCGGAATCAAAACTCCCAATAAATTGTGTGTACTAAAGTGTTTACAATCTTCGACAGTACGAATTGTAAACAAACTCTGTTCAACAATAAGGCTAAGTTTGTTTGCATTCTTAAATAATACTTCCGCATACATTTTGTGTGCATAAATATCTAGGGATTTCTGTTCTGAAAAAAAACACAAAAAACTACAAGTATGTGTTAAGAGTATAATGGTTTTCATTGAAATTTAAAAAACCGCCGAGAATGTCTTATTTGTATATTTCGAGGTAAGATGAAAAGTCTAGCAAACAGATTTTTATGTTACGGTATTTTGATTGAAATTTTTGTTATAATTTTTTGGTATTTTCTCTGACTAGAACGGGAAGATTCCCGTATGTATCAAGGCACTAATGCAAGTAAAGTTAATTGCGGTCGCTTATACTCTGCGTACATATTGAAACCAGTTCTCTCTGGGCGGACTTTGTAAACAAGAATAGATGCATCAGTGTTCGTTTAGTATCCGAGGAGGTTAAAAGCATTTAATTTTGATAATTTTGAAAATTCACATAATAGTTTCCTATGACCAGAATATTTCATAGATTATATTTGTGAAAATGGATTCCATGTCAGGCTGTGACATCCATCTTGTGTTTACTTTTCCACTGCAGTACAAAAAATGCGTACACCTCTGAAATAACTTTCCTTGCATTATTACCTTGGTATGTATACTATAAAATTTATTCTAGCTAACTTTGGCTGCCAAAAAGTACAGGGTGTCCCACGAAAAATGACTGTTGGTGAATAGTTTAGAATGCCTTCTTCCATAATTTGTTAAGTTGTTTGATACCAAAGACAAAAATAAAAATATGATATGGGAGTCATGGTATAGTAAAATTGATTTCAAAGTAAAATATATTTAAGCAAAGGATTTTTAAAATGAAATAAAATGCAAAAAACCTTTTATATCTAACACAGTATATGGAAGACGACATTCATAACTACTTATCAACTGTCATGTTTCGTGGGACACCCTGTATTTCCGGTTGTTTTTCTGTGAAATTACAAAACTTGATGTCAACTGTTTATTTTATATTTTAGATGTGCTTTACAACGTGAAGTACTCCCTGAATGAAAATGGAGAAGTTCGTTTAGATTTCTCTGCAATGGTCTCCTCCGCTACTCCGATAAATCTAGCAAATCATGTTTACTTTAACCTTGGAGGGCATACCTCAGGGGCAGCAGGTTGGTTTATTTTAATCTTGGAGGGCATACCTCAGGGGCAGCAGGTTGGTTTATTTTATTCTTGGAGGGCATACCTCAGGGGCAGCAGGTTGGTTTATTTTAACCTTATAGGGCATACCTCAGGGGCAGCAGGTTAGTTTAATTTAACCTTGGAGGGCATAACTCAGGGGCAGCAGGTTGGTTTATTTTAACCTTATAGGGCATACCTCAGGGGCAGCAGGTTAGTTTAATTTAACCTTATAGGGCATACCTCAGGGGCAGCAGGTTAGTTTAATTTAACCTT